AGTAGTATCAGTTAATCTCTTCTTAAGATCAGTCATTTTGAGATGTTTTTTCATCTCAGAGATTCATGCTTTCATCTTCTTTTACAGATAAGCAAGAGAAATCTTCTCAGTCTTGATAAAATCTGTTAATACTTGAAGCTCTGAGATTCTTGCTCTGTACTACTTGAGTATCTGAACTTCTTGTCAGAACTGATATGACATCTTCTTGTAGAGTAAATAATACTTACAGAGAGATAGAAGTTGTTATTACAGATGTAATGAAAATAACAGAAGTGAGAGAAGAAATAAGTGTATAAGATTCTTTCTTTCTTCAGCTGCTTAGTATAGTGCAGACATGTGACAGTACTGATCAGAGACTGCACTGAAGCCTTCTCACAGAAAGAAGATAAAGAAACTGCAGAATTCTGCAGATTCAACTCAGCAGTATTCTGAGCATAGCTCAGGCATATCATGAGAGAGAAACTATAAATTGAGCTTCTCAGAGCTGCTATCTCTAAAATCAAGCTCTTTCTGAGATTCTCTCTGAATGATCACACAGAGTCATATATCACTGTGTTGACTGAGAGAGAGAACAGTGTTGCAATGATGATGAGAGAGGCAGAAAAAGAACTGAATATAGACAAACTGACTGACAGAAGAAATGACATCTCACTGTAAGATACAGCTACTACTGCTGCAGCTGCAAGAGATACAGGAGAAGAAGATATAATAATAAAAGTGATACTTCTGCAGCTCATTGACACTGCTGGCTCTGTCTTTAATCTGGCTTTCTTGACAGTCATAGAGGCTGCAGCTGCATCATGAAGATGTTTGATCACTAGAAAACATCAGTATAAGCCTCTTATTATCTCTCAAGAATAATACTCTCATACACTCACTATTGCAGATGAGAGAAGAGGAGAAAAATGTTTCATAAGAGAGAGAATCTTTTTGAAAAATCCTGTCACTACTATTAGCTTTGTCTCTAAAATACACCACTTTTGCAGGGAATTTCATATATAGAACAGAATATAATGAGAGATCTGTAAGTCACTTATTAACTATATTTTTCACATTTTAAATTGATATATAAGAAACTCACTTATCATGTGTTTGATTTGAATAGAGATGAGAAAGAAAGACCTACACAGTTAGCAGAAAAACTCATCTATTTCTTTGTATCACATGCAGTATATGCACTGTTAAATTAGTTAACAATTATTACTATACAATAAAGATAATTTCTAATCTGATAATCTTGAGAGTATTGAGACTATGCTCTTAAAAAGAAGGGCATTGTTATACTCTCAGTTATGCTAAGACTCTGTTGCAGTTTCACATGACTTATCACTTTCATGTGAATGATTTCATTCATTTTACAGGCTGTTTGAACTGGTTTTCAATCACTCTATGACATTATTCAAATATATCATAGAAAGATCTGATTGATGAATATGAGAACTCTACTTCTATACAAGATTAGCAGATTACTCTTTCTTAACAGTGAGGTATCACTAAGGTATCACTCTGGCTATTCTTGCTTATAAAATGAGAGAAGAGTATTTACTTATTATTTATATAGAATAGCTAGATGCTGACTTCTCATTAAAGAAGTCAGTGATTCATTTTTCTTCTACTGAAATATATACAAGAGTTACTGTGTTTCTTATATAATCTTCTTAGTATACTAAGTATTATATCTGTGATATTCTTGTAATAACTCTGTAGTCTATGAGCTTGCTATTTAAGCAAGATAGTCAAGTTCACTTATACAGCTTCTCAACAACTACCTCTACATGACACTGCTAACTAGTCACTACTTCAGTTCCGTCATGTTACAGTTTGTAGCATTATTATCTTATCAGAAGACATCTAGATATTCATGATATTATTAAGAGAGTTTCATACAAGAATCTGTTATTATAACACAGAATAACTGTTCTAGAGCCTTTTTAATATTAGTCAGACTGATAAAATAGATTGATACATGATTTTACTATTAGTGATTCTTTCAGTGACTTCTTTTTCTGAGCATTTCATAGATGTTGACAGAGATCTGTGTCAGGTTTATAGTCTTATAAATATCATTCTCATGAACTCTATCTTCATTAGAGAATATTAAACTTCTGTTTTAAGCATCTAATAAGATATCTTATTCAGATAGTCAGATAAGTTCTAATATAAGATTATAATCAAGATTATCAACTTCATATACATAGGTGTCTTCATGCTGATATTCTCTGATATCTATGTTTAGTTTTATTATGTAACAGATGCAAACATCTTTTAAATCATTAAATTCTACAAGAAGTCAGAGTTTTAATAAGAGAATATACTAAAGATTATAATATCTTACAACTGAAGATTTAATTATTGCATAGTGATATAGATCACTATCTATCATGACTTTCATATTATACATATTATTAATCACAGTAGATACAAGAATTGCATTTATTATTATTTTCTCTTTAAATCATTGTTATCTGACCTCTTCAAGCTTCTGTTTGTAAATTTGAACAGAAGCTAATCTTTTCCCTGTTTCATTAAGATATTCTCATAGTTATCTTCTGAATCTTTTTTCAATGCAATGTGATTGACACAGACAGACACTGATTCATTCTTTGAGCAAGAAGACATCAATCTTTCTCTTAAGTGAGGAGACACATAAGTCAATTAGCAGTTGAAAGCAATGTGTCTCAATCAGTTACAGTTAATATATACTTCACATTGACATTGATCAGTGACTTTCTCAGAAGTGATTTCAGAAACTCAGAAGCCTGTTTAAACAGTGAAAACTCTTGCTTATACATAGACATTTGAATCTATTCAGTTCATGACATCTGTATCATTACTGTTACTTTTCAGCACAGGTATATGAGTGACTGAGTTATTTCTTAACACAGATGTATAAGTGTAACATCTTCTGTCACTGTTCTGTATACTCTTGAGCTTGATAAGACAGTCATTCAATGTCTGAAGCTGTGTGTAGAAACTTTTATAAGTCTGGTCTTTATCTACACTTACAAGAGTCTGTAAGAGTTCAAAAGTTAATATCTTCTTGAGCATACTAATCTTCATTTAATTCTTTCAAGATTGATCACCTGCTTCTAGAATCTTGATGTCAAAGTCAGAAATAAATGTTATAAGAGAAGTGTTTCTCTGTTAGATACTCTATAATCAATCTAATACTTTCTGTTGTATGACAGTGTCTTGAAACAGAATATCAAGATATTTGATAATATTATCATGTGTTTGCAACACTGATTCACATACTTTCATTTATGAATAGAACTTCTGTTTTATATAATTCTTCAATTATTCATTGATATATTAATCTTGATTGATTAATGAACTGATGATATCTTCATCTACACTCAGTTTCATGAGCATTTCCATTCTTCATGATGAGTAGAGAGTGAGATTAAAAGTATTAAAATATGCAGAGGTATCTAAGCATTCTTTCAGCACTTTTATAGATGCTGAAGTTACATGAATTAATTATTGAATTTCTTCATATTGAAGCTGTTAAGTGACATGCATGTCAGCTATCTATTGTTATTATAGTTTCAACATTGCTCAGAGTCACTGTGATATTATATCTATACTCACACTCAAGAGTTCTCTTATATTATCATTAGATATGATTATATCATTTGTTAGATATGTGATATCTGTGAAATCTGAAGAAGTGTAATTATATGAATATCTTATACATCTGAGTAGACTGATCACTGAGATTATAAATTTCATATTTAATCTCATTTAATCTGATTCTATACATTTCTTGATATGAATTCTGCTGAGACTAGTTATTAAAAAAACATACAAAGTAACTATATATCAGATCTTAAAATAAAACCATGACTTGAAAAAAATAAGAAAGTGATCTCATTTGATTTCATTTAGTCTCATTCTTGACATAAAGTTACTATTTTTAGACATTTTAAGGCTTTTTTTAGACTATTTTTAATTTTTTAAAAAGTAACACTTTTTGATAACACTTAAATGAGATTTAAAGTCATTTAAAGCAATAAAAATAATTTAAATTGAGAAGTAGAAATCATAATCTCATTTGAAAAATGTAATAAGAGTAGACAGTAAGTCTCACTGAGATTATATGAAACTACTATCTAATGTTAAAACCATGTAATAAGATCAGTTAAATTGATAATAAGACTATTAAAAAATCTGGTTCTGATCTCAGACACAGTCACATGATCAGTCTATATCTGAGTATCAGAACTCTCAGATCTTTTACTGACATTCTCTTATAAAATCTTATTGTGAGATCAGAGTGACTGATGAGTAAGCTTCTATCTGAGAACTCAGTGTTCACTTAACTGTTTCTCTTTCTTATATGTTGTTACATGTTCAGATATCTCTCAATGAATAATCATTTCTAATGAGAAGATAATGTATGAATAATCATTTCTAATAAGAAGATGATGAATGTTTTTCTAGTATAAGAGGTCTACACTGAATAGATCAGTATAATATATAGGTCTTATATAACAAAGAGAAAAATGTTAGAGAAGAAAAAGAAAGAGAAAGTGTGAGAATCAGTGATCAAAGTGAATATTTATATGTGTATGTGATGATGTACATGGTGGGGCTTCGGGGCGGAAGAATCTATACACGTTCATGGCAGCTGAGGATCAGCAATTGAGAATGGAGCAGAGAATCTATACGCATTCGTGGCGGCCGAGGATCAGAGTGTACGCGATCGAGAATGGAGCGGTTGGAATCTGTGGAGTGTAACGGAATAGTCTATATGATTGATCGGGCGCAGCCCGCCACAGAACTTACTAAATCTCTGAGTACTGTGATATTTGTATAATTCATGATTTTGCTAGGTCTTACAGGCAGAAAAGTCAGGAATGCTTAATTTTACATTTGTATTTGGTTTTGACAGACTATCTTGGTGGATTGGGTGTTTTTGTATGTGTTATCTCGAGGGGTGTTGGCCGTTACAGCCGTTGCGGTTAGCAATCCCACTAGATCACATGACCCACCACTATATCATGTTCTTGTAGATAGATCTATCAATACAACCTTCAACTATGCTACAATAACTACCATATGTAATATAAATGTAGCTAGCTCCTCCCACACGAATACAACAGATTAACCATCCCACAGTATGTTGGGGGTCCCGGGCTGATCGGCCCTTTCTACCAGCGCTGGTGGTGATTGAGCTCTTTTGCCCCAGTAGCCTACAGTGTAAGGACTGTTTCATAACGTAACGTAACAGGCATCACAATACCATAGTTTCCGCAAACCTCAGTCTCAACTCAACAGCCTCAACATCGCCAACCTCATCTTCAATCTTTGGGGCTTCATTCAAACTTCCTTTTCCACTTTCATCAATATCATCTTCTATCTCTTATTATCTTATCTCTTCTACTTACTCAGCCCTTTTTCCACTTCTAAATCCACTTTCCCTTGCCAGTCCAGTACTCCTCTCTCTGCTCTCTGCTCTCTATTTCTCTTGTGCCCCGCACATAATCCCCCCACCACCCTTACACAGCTCTTTAAGTTCGGGTTTTCAGCCATTCCACCATAGCCCGGGAGCTTAGAGCTAGCTACTTTCCTTGACCCCGCTGCGCTGCCCTCTCCTCTGCTGCCCACTACTGTCTGGTCTGTCCCTTATCTATTGCCCTCTCTTGGCGGACTGCGGACTCGGGCTATCATTCTACGTAACGGCCTTTGGTGTTACGGCCTATTTGTTGCCTTGCCACCTCATTCCTTGTCCAAATAACTCCCTTCCTCCAGGCCTCCAGACCTCGCAGTCCTTTCTATTACTCACCTTTTTTCCTTGTGATATTTCATCGTGCTTTTGTCACCTCATGCCCAGTGGTGACATACACCACTTAAGTCATGTAATTGGTCTCCGGCATCTTTGCCTCGAGCACACTTCTTAAGCTTTCTGAATTGGCTTCGCTGTTTATTTGTCCTCTTCCGCTTACCTCCCCTCAATCAAGGGAGTTGATCCAACCGTCGGGCGCTTTGTTTTCTCTCTACGCCTTCCTTACCGTGGATTGAGCCCTTTCCTGTTTTAATTGATCGTCTCCCTTCTGCCATGTCCCAAAACCCTTCGAATTCTACCTCTTCCGGCCCTTCCGCTCGGCCTCGGGGTCGTCGTGCCTCCGTTGCCTCTGCTGCATCCTTCTCAGAGCTTTTTGCAAGACCCGGCAACGCAGGCCTTCCACAACCACCGCCAACCGCTGCCGTAAATATTCCCGGCTCAATCATGTCATCTGCAAGTGCTCAGGCACAGCAACGCCGCCGCATGTCGATTACCACGCTAGGCCTCTCGGGGTCTCCAACTCAACAATCATCTCCCTTTGGAAGTGCCCCTGCGGGTATGCGTCGTGGGAGTATCTCGAGCTCCGTGATATCCGGTTCGCCTACACGGGAAGACTCTGTGCTAGAAGAGAACGGAAATGACACCCCGATAACCTCGCCTACATCCCCATTTCCCCATCGTGTCTCGTTTGGAGCTCAGGCATTCCGCGATCGCGTTGGGAGTGCAAGTGCAAATGGTAGACACCCATCCGGAATTTCTGCGGTGGCAGAACAGCGAGCTCCGTCCACCGCCAGCAGCACATCCTCCACGGGCAGTGCTGGTATTTCGGTTGCTGCAAGTACGCATAAAACAATTCCCCAGAACAATAGATCTAACCCCTCTTCTTGGCGCCCTATAGGCGAAGGCTTTAATTGGCCAGAAGCCCTCCGGACACGCGCGGAGCGCGCTCCTTCGTTTGGAAGCTTCCCTCCGACGTCTCCCACTGCTGGTTCCCATGGATCGCCACCTTCGTCTACTCCACATTCCAAGCATCACCAGCGAGCAGCTTCCATTGCAGCAATGGAACAACCCATTCAAGATATTCGTGATACCCACAAGCGGCAACAGAAACAACAACAGCGAAAGCCAAAGCCAAAACCCGATTACTTCCAGGAGAAGATACTTAGGGGTGACTTTATGGACTAAGGTCTGCTTTGCCTTCTTTCTATTTTATTTTTGTTTTATAATTTTTTATTATTTTTATTATACGAATACAACCTTCTCTATCTGTTGTGTTTTCTATAGCCACTTTTTTCGTTTGGCCCGCCAGACCCAGGAATGAAGCGAGTGAATGGAGACGAGAATCAGAGCGAAGGGGATAAACCCTTCTTTTGGGGAATGCTGCCACCCGTGTCGAGGTTCCTTACGCGACATGTCTTATTTCCTCAATTATCTCTTCTCCAGATAATAATAAAATAGCACTGTTTGGACTGGTCAAAAACCCTAACGCCCCTTCACTGTTATCCAAGTCTGTCCTCAAAACCTTCCAAAAATCCATCACTAGCTATCCTCTATGACAATTCATCGCCTCGTCTTGATTTCTTGTCTCTAACTGCGTTGGCCAGTTCCAAGACTTAGTTAGGGCTGAGAGACCTGCCCGGTTTACTAGTACTATTGGCGTAAACATAAAATCCGGCAGGGCTGTCTCTCCAATTTTGCTATTGCATTTCTTTGGGGCGCATCGGTTTCTGTCGAGATTTATCTTCTTCTATGCGTTCCTCCCAACTCTTTTTTTTGTGGCTATCTATTTCACAAGGCGGGACTGAATTGTAGCTTTTGTCTGGACCGGATTTATGACGGCGCAGTGGTTGATTCTTACGTACCTTACTTATTTCTTCCCTCTTCGAAATGCATCTTCCGCTATCTCTAAGACTACGTTTTCGCCATTTCACTAGTTATATTTTCTATTTTGCCCTTTTTATTTCCTACGAAGAAATCAAATAAATATGAATGTATATATATATTACTACCTGTAGCTAGGTGTAGAACACGACATCAATCCACCTTGGTGTGGGGACATTCTATCCGATCACAGATGTATAGAACAGATTGGCCCAAACTTCATTGAAGTAAATGTACAAGGGAATCCCCATTTGATGAAGCGATGATTTTAGTCTATGATAATAGAAAGCAAAGGAGAACCGAACCCCTTGGAAGGAAAACGAGGGTTATTAAATTTGACTAGCTAGCTGAGGTACTTTCAAGAGAGGGAGAATAAAAAACGAAACAAACCAAAATATGCAGCAAGTGAAGTTGGACTTAGCCGCTTGTCAACGAAAGAAATAGGGCAGAGAGAAAACACGTTGATTGTGGGAATCGTCAGAAAAATCCCACGTTACTCGGAGAGAACAAAGTTTTAATAAGGGATATTGTTTGTCAGCATCTGGAACTGATCATAGCCTTTCGTCGACACGCTCATGTAGCTCTTCTTCACGAGTTCTCGCATGTGTTCGGCAGCCTCGCGCTCAGTCTTTTCAAGGACAAATCTGTCGCGGAAGTTTTTCAGCGTGTCAGGCTTAAAGCACGGCAGCCCGCTGTCAAGCATCAGCGTGACAATGTGTGATAGCTTGGTTGCAAACGGTCTGGAAGCAAGGAAGGCTTTAACGACAAGTGACTCGAACCAACGGTATGACTGCGAATTCATTGGGTTGTGACCACCAAGAGAAATCCCACCGCTACCGCCGCTCGTTGACGACGAACCACCCGAGCTGCTCTGCCCTCCCATTACGGCCACCATTTCAGAGGTGAGCTTGAAAGGCGCGCGCTCGAATCGAACACCACCTGGTGCTATGTCGAAACAAAAGCCGAAATCGATGTGGATGATATGGCCAGCGTCATCGATCATAATGTTTCCGTTATGGCGGTCTTTGAATTGGAGAAGGTAGGATATGACAGAGTAGGCAGCCATGCTCTTGACGAAGTTGCTTCTTGCCTCTTGGAAGCGGGTAGATTGTTCACCGCCATACTTGGAAACGAAGTAATCGTAGAGGCCATTGACGGCTTCGCGACCAAGCATGTCTCGTGAAATAGAGTTAGGGAGCACATCAATTACACCACAACCTGGTGCTGTGGCCGTGACGCGATATGGGTATACAAACACGTCCAAGCCAACACCCATGAAAATACTCCGGAAAGCTGCGATCATTTGCAGCGCCAGTACGTCCTGGCGGCAATCGTCGCCTACCTTAAAGATGGCTGACTGCCAGACCTCGTACGTTGATTGAGATTCTTGGGCATCAGCAGTCTGCAGCACCGAGTCATCAACACTTGCTTGGCGCTGTGAGGCATCTGCCTTAACCTCTAGCATCATAGGACCATTCCCATTGCCATTTTCCTCCACCTTTTTGGTCTTTCTAATCCGGAATGTCGCCATGAACGGAGCCTTTGCGTGACTCTGTAAGGGCTTTCCAGATTTTCGATCAATCCCGATCACTTCTCCGTCTGGATTACTTGGAAGATACACCCCAACTTCTAATTTGACCTGACGCAGTTCCTCCTCAATTTTCTGCTTCTTCTCTGGCTTGCTTCGTTTGATGTAAGGTCGTAGTTTTCCAGAGATGCCTGTGATTTCATTGAAGAAAGAGAATTCTCTCTCGTAGAAGGCACGATCTTCCTCGGAGAAGTGACCGATAAGCTTGTCAAGGAATTGGTCCAGGACAGGTTTGATAGGATCAGGCTGTGAAAGGTCGCGAAAGTTAGCTCAAGTTTGACTTTTGATTTCAGGACAGGGAGAAAACCAGAATGGGGAGAGTATCCATACAATCTGAGAATCTTCATCCTTGTAAGCATTCGCTTTCATGTTCCAGATAACCTGATGGGCAAAAAGCTGTGATAGCTGTGCAGTCTCGAAGATGTACCGCTCAACATAGCCTAAGGCATCATATCGCAGGGCTTGGACAAGCTGTGGGATGTAGGAAAAGCTCACCTCCACAGGATGGCTTTCCAGTGATCTCACGGCATACTGTAGGATAAATGGGTGGTTTCCATAAACTGGTAAGAAATATGTTGACGCTTCAATAGGGTTTACGGGAGCCCAGAAAAGAAGATACTTGAGTTGAAACGACACATCAGGAGGTAGCTCGGATCCAAGGAGTATATTCAGGCTATCGGGATCGCCAATGGCCTTCTCTGGAAAGTTGAGCAACAGCCAGCGCGCGTCGCTTCTAAGCTTTGGCGAGGGGAACCGGTTTGCGAGTTGTAGGGCTAATCCATGGTTTTCTGCCCATGCTAGCCTCATCAGGGACGAAATAATCTGCAAATCAGGGTTAGATAGAACTTGATTATGGAACATGGAAGGGACGGTTCATTGCAGCGGGCAGCAGACCTCGGGATCGACCTTATTCCCTGAGCTTGAACTATAATTCCGTCTCTCATGCTCCAATGGGAAAAGCCATACTCGTAGTCGGAATCGCTCGTTTTCAATAAGTAGCCGGACTAATTCTTGTTTGGCTTGGAGGGATTTCCTCGCGGCGGATGCCCCTGTGGCTATACGGGATGTGCTTTCAAGATGCGACTCAATATCCTGAAGAACCTTGTCTTCAGCCTTCATCTGTAGGCGGTTACCGCCTAGGGACCACCTTGAAAGGGGGAAAAAAGCAAATTAGCGACACATCCTAAATCAAATACTTGATTATTTATAGATAAATACCTACCTAGGCGGATGGCTGAACCAGCTCAAAGCAGCAGAAAGGATTTGATCCTTCAATTTCCATAAAGCAATTTTCGTTTGCGACGTACAATATCGGAGAACCTTTAAGCCAAACAAGACGATGTGGAAATGAATTTCACGCGCAAGTGGGTGGCCGGTGGTATTTTGTAGTTCAACCAAAGTGACTCCTACAAGACGACTAAATATGCGTTGGGTGTGGACACTACCAAGTCTAGTGGCATTAAAGTGGCTTTCGAAGAACTGAAGGATACGAAAGTGTGGCGATATGATATTCTGCGCTTTCCGCTGGCGTTTGAGGACTATGGATTTATCCGATGGAGAAAACTCCGTTTTGGTCATGAATGGGTCAACGAATCTAAATGAATTGAATAATGAGGTTAGTGAAGCAAAGGCGCATGAAGTTTTATTTTCACGTACTTGAAATTAGGGTTGAAGATCCCCAACTTCCTCTGAATGGTCCGCTCCCACGCTTGTGCAACTTCCGTCAGTATCCTTGACTCGGTTTGTGGATTCTCATGGATCGCGCCCAGCCATAAAGAAATGCCCATTTTGATCGACTCTCTTGTAAACATCTGGAATGGGATATTAACGAGGTGTGAGATGATAATGGTTTGCGATTCGCTAGCGCTACAGATCAGCGCAGTAGCTTTGCGAAGAAGATTCCGGCACTGCTCTAGCATGACGGGTTGGCCGTTAGATATTCGGGATTCCAACTCGACGAGCATTGACAGCGTGTCCTGAATGGTATCTAGGTGTGTCGAAGCGGTCGAATCGTCTCTAGAAATTTGGTTAAGGGGGAGTGCCCATCCCTGATAGTGTAAACTTGGTGCCTCGGAATAGCGATACTCCTGGCGGGTTGTATACTGAGCAATAAAATCGGAAGCCACGTTTACGATCGAATTTTCATTACCCTCGATGGAGCCTAAGGAGCCCGTTATTAGTATGTTCAGGGTGTTGTGGAGAATTCACACATTTAATTTACCTAATCTTTGATCACTGGATGGAATAGCAGAACCCATTTCCAAGGCGAATGAACGGCCGATAGAGATATGGCCATAGGCGCCGTCGTCCTCGTAATCCGAAAGGTAGGTTTGGAGCAAGCCCTTAACATCCAACGGCGCAATATTCATGACTGTCGATACCCATGTTTGTGCCAATCTATAAAAAGTGGTGAAAGTGAGCCTCCTAAAGTCGTAGTTATCTGATAACTCGACCTTAACGACGCCCCTCGTGGAGGTGAAAGTAGATTTCCACTCGAACTCGTCGAGTTCCTCGTCTAAGCACGATGACCACATGATAGTCAATAGATCCAAAAGGACAAAAAGAGATCGTTTTTGGCACAGAGAAGAGGGGCATTGATTGATTATTTTGCTGGCAGTGGCTGCAGCAACCTGCTGTATTTTTTCGATTCGATGGCAACAGGCCATAAGTGTGTCTGCCAGCTGCCCAGAAATATGCGCGGCTGAGAATTTTGCAGATCCAGATAGAGCTTTTTCAAGGTAGATTGACACAACTTTGTCTGCAATAGCGTTCATGCAACTGCCGACATCCGTACTGTTAAGGGCAGGGTCGAGGAAATAAGTTAGAACTTTGGTGCAGTCCCCAGATGCAGCCCGCAGGCTCTCAATCAGTAAAGTGGCGTTCAAAAAGACTGTTTTCGGATAGCTCAACCGCCTGATATCGTATTCCAGATGTGGAACCTCCAAGGCGAGGCTCTTTCGTTGATCTGCAGCGTGGTTCTGGGTTGCTCCTCGTCTCAGCACAGTGTTCAACTCAATATCGCTTTCCAGCAGCTCAGCGCGATTTTCCGCAACTAGCGGAGGGGAGTGAATTGCAAGGATGCGGAGTTCCTGGTAATATTGTCGAGTAACTTCTGAACGCAGCGAAATGCCATGGGCCGCAATATTAAACCACACATCACGAAGCAGGGAGGGTATATCATGCTCCCCCCCACCGACAAGAGCATCCCAGTTGGATTGACTTCTTGAAAATGGGATAGCAAGTGGTTTGATCAAAGGGACGATTTCTTCTGCAGATAACTCCACGACCTTCTGGCGGTCCTTCTCTCTGTCAGCCACATCGCCTTTATTAACAATACTTTCGAGGAGATAGACTAGATACACTCGATAATGGAATGATTGTCGATCCATATTTCCTGCTAGATGGTTTCTCGCCTTATGGACCTATAATGTGAAGTTAGGTTGCGTTTATCCACCTAAACCCGGGGTTTAGGCCGAGGGGAAGACCACGTACCGCATCAAGGATGAGGGCATTCCCTTGGACAAGGGCTTCGCTGTAAATACGGGAATAGAATTTGAGAAGCACTTGAAATTCTGCCTCGTCACTATGGAGGGCTAGCGCAGCGGTTTCTTCGATGATACAGGCGTTGACGACTGCGTTTATTTTCCCGATCTTCTGTAACAGCATCGACTGGGCCAATGCCACAATTTTACTATCGCCGCAGCTTGTAGAGATCGTGACTATTGCATGTACCACGTTTCGGTAGGTAATTGCTGTTTCGGCATCCTCATCGAACGTGAGAGATATGACACTACCGTTCGCAGTTTGAGGATACGGTGGAGCCAAGCCTCGAGTATGAGAACCTATCCCATTGGCAGTAGTTTGGTGTGATTTGTCTGTAGCTGGTGGGCCAGCACTAAGAACGTTCCCTAAGGTGTACAGCATACCAATGATGGTGTCCTGTGAGAGAAGACGAAGGGTATCAGCCAAGCAACGGGCGGCGGTTACTACGGTGGCGCCGCTTTGCCCGTTATGCACGATGAATTTGAGGAAACAGCGGGTTGTATTTAAAGTCATGGTAGAAAATAGCTTTGCTAAGATTGCTAGGGATTTGAGGGCCACTTCTGCGAGCTCCTGATCGGCCATTTGATCGGGATTGAGCAGCGTATCTTCTAGCCATGAAAGAAGAAGGTCAGGGTCGGCCGAGTCTTCATCCAGAATGACGCAATTGAGGAAGCTGACTATAGCAATTAATTTCACAGAGAATGCTAGCCGTTGCTGCCATGCCGAGCCGAGTTGTAGATAATCAGATCCATCCTCGAGTTGTTGCATCTGCTCGGCGATTATTTCTGCGAAGGGATTGACTAGGATGAGTTTGTCATCGCGGTCCTGTTCGGTTAGTGGAATGCCGTTCAGATACTGATCCAGGAGAGCGCTGTCGGAAATACTTCGACCATCAGCACCAGCAGGCGATGTTGAAGCCTTAATAAACCGCATAAAGCCCCGTTGTAGCAGCATTGCGCCAAGTGGGCGCCCTTCGGACGCATAGCGGCGAGCATATCGTCGCCAACCCAGCAAAATGTGATTGGAGGATTCAGAGCTACGGAGCATAGAAGAGACAGTCTCAACAGTGATCAAAAACTGCTCTGAAAGAATCAGCCGCAACCGATTGGCGACCTGGAGTCGTTCTGCCGGTGTCCAAAAGCTGGCATGAACAGAAGCGGCTTCTAAGAACCCCACAAGGGATAGCGTAATCGATGCCACATCCACGACAGCCTGCAAATCTCCCAGCTCCTTTTCGCCATTCGCGTGGTTCCGCAGAGCGGGGAGGGACTTTGCAGCATGGAGGCAATTTTCGAGGTAGGAGGTGAGACTCTGGAGGATATCGTCCCGGTGACGCGGAATTCGGGAGCCAAGCGATAACAGGGATAGAGTGAGATTACATGTCAAGGCTTCCCATGGAGACGGTTTGATGCTATAGAGGAACGGAGATGGGTAAAGTAGGAGGAGATGAGAATGGGGGAGATATCCAGCCAGTTGGGAGACCAATTTCGCGGCATGTTTAGGAGACGACAACTTGGAGGCCGCTCTACAAAGCGCCAAAAGGGCATCCAATTCCCGAATGGTCTTGTAATCAGTCAGGTTAGATAAGAGTTTTCGTAACATTATACACGTATATAGCCCAACAGAGGGGGAGGATAAAGCTAGCATACCAGGGGCGAAGGGGGAGTACTGCAGCCTTTAGAAACACCGTCGAGATATCCGCCTGAGATCAACTTAGGGCGATGGCAGGCCCTCCCCAGGCGATCAACGTCTGATACGATGCCGCCGTCACTCTCCGGGCAGCTCGTGGCCAAGTCCGCAAGCTTGTCGAAGGCAGCTCGCCTTAGACAGAAAGGTCGAGACAGAGACCTAAAAGTGGCCCAAAACAAAGTAAGCGGGTGATTTGGCATCCAAACCAAAAGGATCGGAAAGGGAAACATACATGCTCAAAGGACTACCTGCTGAAGAGCCCGCAGGAGATTAGAAACGGAGCGGAGGAAACATTGTTGGATTGTGGTTGTGGCGAAAAGAGAGGAGAAGTAACAATTAATTATTATTAGTTCTCCGCAAACAATGTACGGAGTAGTTAGTTAAATAACTAACTAAATAATTAAAAACAAGCAGAGAGTTGGCGATGATGGAAACTAAATATTTACATAAATAACTACATAACGGGGAACTACAAGTGTCAACATTACAAAACCTACGTTAAATATGAGAAGTATTTATTTACTCAACATGTGCTCTCGGTTTGTCGAATGAAATATATATGGCTAAAGGTTATTAATTTGTTGCAAGCTGTTTGAGAAACCATTATATTATTCCAAGGGCCGCACTTCGCTGTAAATAACTACTTTATTTTATTTTTTGATCCTCAGGAACCGAACACAAGCCACCAGTCCTCCTTCAGCCATTAGATATAATAGTATTTAGTAGTTACGCCTACCAAGGCTGACCTTGCTGCTTGCCCAACCAACTAAACTTATTTAAATAACGAACTATTTAAGTCTAAGTTAGTTAGTTACCAGCGAACTCATATTATTATTATTATTATTTATTATTCCTCCAGCCTCCGCTGCCTCCACTTCACGCCGCCTGAACTGAACTCGAGAGGTCCTTGGGGTGACGCAGAGTCTCTAGAGATCTCAAACAATCCATATATAACTTCCCCAGCTCAGGCTCAACCTACAGACTCGTCGCTGTCGTCTGTTTTCCTCCACGGGATTGTTTTGTTTTATTTTGTTTTCATTTCCCTTTTTTGCATCGCGCTCCATCCACCACGGATATGGCCCCAGCGAAGGAGAAAAGTCATTTAAAACGAGGGAGGGTGAGATATTTATACATGTGGACTCAATCTATCTTTCTAAGCCTTTTTTGAGATTTTTATTTTATTTTTTTTTCAATTTTTTCAAGTTTTTCTTTTTTATTTTTTTATTTTATTTTTTTTTTTTTCAACTAATCGTTGCGTTGCTGCATTTTCATTCTAGCCCAGCGCGGGAAACCAAGCTCCTCAAGAGACCAAAAAACCCCGACGCTCGGAGCGGATATCGTCCCAATCCCAGGCAGCTCACCAAAAAAATGTGTATCTGCCCTCTCCGCTCACCCATCAAGAGTCCACTGCCACCGAGCTACAGAAAGAAACGACGGTGACCCCGTCAGAGGGCTATCCCGGCCAATTCCGTCATTACACTCCCGCCGCTGAGCTGCCCTTCTCATCCCCCCCAGGAGATACTCAAGCTCTCTCCCAGTTTGTTTTTCCCCCAAGAGCCCTTGCGGATGAAGTGGACGATGAGGCCGCCGAAGGTGTCTGGGGCTATCTTATTCCTCTCGATGACAAGTTCGGAGACCCATTGGTCTTGAAAAAGAGAGACACTTGTTCTTCGCCCGCCGTGGGTACCACAAATCGCAGGAAGGGATCTTCGAGATCTAAACGAGGAAAAGTCAAATTAGAAAACCTTGCTTCCCAAGATCATACCGGAGGCTATCTCATCGGGCGCCATTCAGAATGCGGTATGTTATTGCCAATTAGGCCGGTGGTCGCTCCGCCCTCAGGAATAATCGCGATACGGCGACACTTTGCTGACTGATATTATGATTCCTTGTAGATTTTGTCCTTGATATACCGACTATATCCAATCGACATTGTTTAATATATAACGAAAACAAACGAGGTGATTCCGTTGCTATTCTGGAAGACTTGTCTAGCAACGGGACATTTATAAACGAGGCAATTATCGGGCGCAATAAGCGCCGCGAACTAGAAGACGGAGACGAAATAACTGTGCTGGATGAAGCTCGTTTTGTCTTTCGCTATCCTAAAATAAGAGACACTAACAAATTCCGACAGCAATATCGCATCCTGCAGCAGCTAGGAAAAGGCCATTTTGCCTCTGTATATCTGTGCGTGGAGAGGTCGACCGGTGACAAATATGCAGTGAAGCGATTCGAGAGGCGCCCGGGAGACTCACAGCGAGCCGACAATGATGGCTTAAAACAAGAAATTGCCGTGCTAATGAGCGTTAATCACCCCAACGTGCTCTGTCTGAAGGACACCTTCGATGAGAGTGATGGTGTCTACTTGGTCCTTGAACTTGCCCCCGAGGGCGAGTTGTTCAATTGGATTGTTGCGAATCAAAAGCTTACGGAAAGTGAAGCTCGACATGTTTTCACTCAACTGTTTAAGGGACTTAAGTATCTTGTATGATGGATTGAAATCCTACCCTCATCATCCTTCATAGCAAAATCCTCCTCCTGACTTCTCTTATCTAGCATGAACGGAATATTGTCCACCGGGACATCAAGCCCGAGAATATCCTTTTGGTGGATGACCGCCTTACCGTGAAACTCGCCGATTTTGGTCTTGCTAAAATAATAGGGGAGGACTCGTTCACGACAACTTTGTAGGTTATATTCCGGTTTTCACAGGGAGACTACTTTCTAATAAAGAAACTGTCAATCTGAATGCTAACGATGCTCTTGGGCAGATGCGGAACACCCAGCTGTGAGTTTTGATTTATTATGGCCCCATCAAGCTTTATTAACTCTGTTAAAAACTGCAACTAACCTTAAACAGACGTAGCTCCTGAAATTCTCGAAGAAAACCCCCGGCATCGCAAATACAGCCGAGCAGTGGACATCTGGTCTCTCGGAGTGGTCCTATACATCTGCCTGTGCGGCTTCCCGCCATTCTCCGACGAACTCTACACGCGCGAAAATCCCTACACACTAGCTGACCAAATCAAACTGGGCCGCTTCGACTATCCAGCTCCCTACTGGGACTCCGTCGGGGACCCCGCGCTCGATCTCATCGACAGAATGCTGACCGTCGACTTCGACAAGCGCATCACTATTGACGAATGCCTGGAGCATCCCTGGCTGACGGGGCGGGGCAAGTACCCCAGCATCAATGACAGCACAGACGGCTTAACTGGCGCGATGGGCCTGCTTGATTTCTCGAAACGTAAGATGGCGCGTGAACGCACTCTGATAAGTAGCATCAATGATCTGCCATCTAGCCAGGTTATCGCAGATCCAGCAACTGGTGGGCATGGACATAGGCAGGTGAGAGTGTTCGACAGGAACGAAGCTAGCAGACGAATGCACAACCATGCGCCGAGGGGGGGTGGGGGTGGTGGTGGGGAGCGAGTACGGCAGGAACCCGCACCTGCGGCAAATCGGGATCCGGCTAACTTCATGAATTTGGGTGGTCGCGGGGATCCGATTTTATACAGCGATGATCAGGATGAGAGGTATACACGGGGAAGACGAAGGTGAAGGGAACACTCTTTCTCTTTGTCTTTTCTCCTGTTTTTCCATCTTTTGCATTTCCTTATTATTTCCTTATTTCCTTTACCCCTACCGCCCCCCCCCCCCCTTTTTTTTTTTTTTTTTCTTTTTTTTCCTTGTCTAGTCTGAGTGGGAAATGTGTAGTCTGTCCTACTTTTATCTTCGGCAGTTACCTATAGATAGATACATTTCGGACAAATTTTGTTTCTGGGCTTGGATCAGGCAGAAGACCTATATAACTAGTGGTTATCTTAATATACCAATGAATATACAAATCAGTGCTGGCTGTGTATGTTTGGTTTTGTTCTTTGAGCGTTGGGCTGCTACTCTTTGATAGGTATACTGTTGGATAAATATTTATTATTAATATCAATGTTATACTGATATTGGTTCGGATTTATATTATTTGTTATCCCCTTCGTAAATACGAAGTACCCTTGAGGCTGACGCTTCTGCCGCGATAATAATTGCCGGGACCAGCGTATCCCAGATCAGCCCATTATTCTTCATCTTCTTAGCTCTACGCTGAATACGGCAACAAAGGAAAAGCCTGGGCAGGGGAGGCAACGGCACAAAGACGGTGCCTGGTATTGCTGAGTACCGTCACGGAGCAGGTACTGTTCATGACGTGTTGGCAACGCCAGGATCCGTAGTGGTAGGCATATATTCATGGTACTCCAGCCCGTAAATACAGGTATTGCGCTTGTGCACATGTCGTGCTGACTCAGCCGAGCCTGCATTCTATTCTATCTTTTTGATAACGAAAGAATGCCCCGTCTGGGCTTCATCTTCCCCTGAACAACTAACTCTCCCTCAAAGTGCTGTCGACATCCCCACAACCCTCCGTAGTCGGTCGACTCCTTCGTTCCGCCAAAGTCACCATGGGGCTCCTTGCGGATGCTATTGTCCGCATCTGCGCTCATTGCTCTGCCGCGTCTCTCTGGGTGATTCTGCTCTCCGGTTTCGCAACTTTTATTGCCCTTTCTGTGGTAATAAACGTTATCCGCCAACTTCTCTTCAAAAATCCCAATGAACCTCCCGTTGTGTTCCACTGGTTCCCCATCATTGGAAGCACCATCTCCTATGGAATTGACCCGTATAAGTTCTTCCTAAGCTGCAAGGAAAAGGTGACCCTTCCACCCGCGCCACCCCCGTGGAACCCCCGAGAGCAACACTTGCCTTGGAATATGAATTCATGGCTCTAACATTTTGCTTCGATGTCTAACTATATTCTTTTGTAATAGTATGGCGATATCTTCACATTTGTTCTCCTTGGCAAAAAGACTACCGTGTTTCTTGGAACGAAAGGCAATGATTTCATCTTGAACGGCAAACTCAAGGACGTTTGCGCCGAAGAGGTCTACTCACCACTCACCACACCCGTTTTCGGTAGACATGTCGTCTACGATTGCCCAAATGCAAAGCTGATGGAGCAGAAGAAGGTAATTATTGCGACAATATCACTGGTTTATGAACACTCTACTGACTATATATTCGATTAGTTCGTCAAATATGGGTTAACCTCGGAGTCATTACGGTCCTATGTTACTTTAATCACAGACGAATTCAACCATTACTTGGAGACGTCATCTGCACTTAAGGGCGAAAAGGGAGTTCTTGATGTTTGCAAGAGTATTGCCGAGATTACCATCTTTACTGCTTCCCGGTCCTTGCAAGGGAAAGAAGTGAGAAGTAAATTCGACTCCAGTTTCGCCCAGCTCTATCATGATTTGGATATGGGGTTTACCGCGATCAACTTCATGCTCCCGTGGGCACCACTACCTCATAACCGTAAGCGGGATGCTGCTCAGCAAAAGATGGCAAAGGTCTATACAGATATCATCCGCCAGCGACGGGAAGCCGGTTGCCAGAAAGACTCAGAAGACATGGTCTGGAATTTGATGTCCTGTGTCTACAAGGATGGAACCCCACTCCCAGATATCGAGATTGCCCATATGATGATTGCCTTGTTAATGGCGGGCCAGCACTCATCCGCCTCCACTCTATCATGGATCGTTCTCCGACTCGCGTCTTGCCCAAAGATTGTTGAGGAACTATATGAGGAGCAGAAAGAGGTTCTTGGGGAGGATCTCCCACCTGTAACCTACGAAACACTTCAGAAACTCACCCTCAACTCACACGTTATCAGAGAGACCCTTCGCCTTCATGCCCCGATTCACTCCATCCTCCGCGCCGTCAAGTCCCCAATGCCCGTTGATGGAACACGATATACAATCCCGACCACTCACAACCTCCTCGCAGCTCCCGGAGTAACGTCAAGATTACCCGAGTATTTCCCAGATCCCATGACCTGGGATCCTCATCGCTGGGAGACCTCCACAATGGAAAAGGAGGAGGATCAAAACGAGGAGAAGCTGGATTATGGATACGGTTTGATTAGCAAAGGTGCCAACAGTCCTTACTTACCTTTTGGCTCCGGACGACATCGGTGCATCGGTGAACAATTCGCATATGTACAGTTGGGAACTCTGCTCGTTGCGATCGTCAGACATCTGAAATTGAGCAAAGTCGAAAACGAGACCGGTGTGCCAGAAACAGATTATTCGGTAAGCAAACCACGATGCCCTGTTTCTAGCTAATTGTCAACAACACCCCGCCCCCCTTTTTTTGGATATAGATAGCGATGCTAACATATGTGACTAGTCACTTTTTTCGAAACCTCTAGGAAGACCGCTTGTCGCATGGGAGAAGAGAAATCCCACCAAGAAATAAAATCACCCACTTCATGTTTCTTACCCTAGGTTTCGTTCATATCGGATTTTTGTGTTAAACTTGCCTTTTTTTTTACCTCTCTTTTATGCCATTCATCCCCTTCTTTTCTCGCCCTTTCTCCACTTAGACGAGTATATTATATTATTATTTCCTCATTGTAAAGGTTCAAGCAGGCTCCACAGGTAACATTTTCGTTAGTCTATATATTTGCATCTAACATACATAATAGTACATCTAATAATTAATTTTGCGATTGTTTTGATGTTTGATTTTGTTGATTGCTCTTTTCCTTTTTCCTTTTCCTTTTTTTTCTAATTTTTTTTTTTTTTTTTTTTTTTTTTTTTTTTTTTTTTTTTTTTTTTTTTTGAAAATGGCTTTCCCCATTGCGTAGTTTCGTTCTCTTCCTTCATATTGCGTCTCCAAGCTCCAAGGGTCCCGTACTATACAAAGAAAGGAAAATTGTAGATAAATGCCAACCGTAAACACAAGATCTAGCAGGGTTTAAATATAGCATCAAGCAAAGGAACAGAATGACTTAATATACATATTCACTCTTGAAAACAGCCCAAGTGCGGGAGAGAAAAGAAAAGTGAAATAAACACAGAAACTCAGTTTATGCTGAGACTTTTTTCCTCTCCTCGCTCCGCTTCTTCGCCCTAACCTCCGCCTGCCTTCTTTCTCCTCCATCGATCTTCTTCCCCTGCTTATCCTCCCACATGCCCTCCTGCACCTGTATGACTCCCGCCATTCCATTTGTTCCCTTGACCAATTTAATGTATGGCGCCTTTAGCACTGGGCCACGCCCTAGCGTGACTTTCATATATTTCTTGGGCGGCTGTGGTATTTCTTTCGGTTGCGACTCGCCCGGTGGGAGGTTCACTACCGCCCATTTCATGCCAGGGGATAGAGTTGCGGTGCCTGTGGCTGTGACGGGGGGGATTTCATGCTCACGCTGACCACCAGCTGTTGTTGTAGGTGTTTCACACTGCCCCTCTGCCCTCGCCACGACTTGGTTATTTGGTATCTCAACAACCCTCAGTTGACCCACGCCATCAACTACGTGCTCTAAATCGCCGCCAACCCCGTACTCGCCGCGTTGAAACTTTTGGCGCCAGCGGAGCAGATATCGGCGAAGACGTGGCGGCTCAATGCCTCGTGCCTTCAATTCTACGGAGGAGAGAGTAAATAGCTCGTCCCAGGAGGTGAATTTGGAGGCGAAGCGGGACATGTTGCGGCCGATTAGGGAGAGGAAGGTTTCCGCGTCTGGGACGAAGGGGGTTGGTGGGGGAACAGGGGGGTGTGAGCTTTTATGCAGTTGGTGGAGGAATTGGTGCGATAGGGGGTAGAAATGGGAATACGAGGAGGGACCTGTTAGGAACCGGGAAGCGAAGGGTCTCCGTGGGATGGTTCGGGCCGCCATGGTGAATTGGTCGCAATGTCGCTGAGCGGAAGAGTGATCGATAGACAAGCTCGTCGGGATGGGCAGCGGTATAGATGAGGTTCCGTGAGGCCGCTCAATTAGGGTTGTTATACGTCATTTATAAGAGGCACGGTCTGCTAAAGACGATCGAATTGTTGTGTGGGTGGTTTTCTTCGAGGAATAGCTGCAGGCGAGCGAGCGATGCGTGGCGATACCGAGTCTATTCCATCAAGATTTGAGCCAATGTTCAAATATCATCGGTGATTTTGGTTCTGGCGGTTAAGAAATTTGGAGAGCCGACGGGCACCGGAACAATGATGATCCGGGTGGTTTATTTGTGTTCAATCTGCAATCCCCGTCTCTGGGTTTCGAACAGCTTCAACAATTTTGAGATAACTACAATCATACTGGAACGACTTGAACAACCGCTAAAGACTCGGTTTTCTAGTCGCGTTCATGGAGTGAAGAAGTGCCCCGCGATTACTAGTGATTGATTCTAAGCTCTTATCCGGGCTTCCCTTGTTTCCGTTATTCAGTTCCTTCCAACAACCCGCCAACCTTCCACCCCAACCTCACCTGCAATGGGGGTATCGCCTGTAATTACATGCTCACCCTCCGGAGTACATTCAGCTACAGGTGGACCAGATACTAATGCCAAAATACTTGCCATGCGCAGCTCTGGGCGCGCGGAACATCCAGCGTCACAACCAGCGTCACAACCAGCCTCCGCTGCTGAAGCCGGGGGCTATCTCGCCGCGGTACCAGAGGCAGCCGAGCAATTAAATGTAGCTATAAGCCGTAAATACGTTAAGGGTTTGTTAGCCTATTTCTTTTCTTTTCTTTTTGTTTCTTTTCTTGTTTCCTGTTCAATTCTTCCCTTCAACTTTCACACACAAGACCCTCATTCCCTTGGCAGACCTCGAACTTACTCGCGTCCGGCACAGATAAAAAGCTTGGAGAAGGCACATATGCCATCGTTTATCTCGGACATCTCCGACATGATCCCACCTCACTTGTTGCCATCAAGAAAATAAAAGTCAACACAGAATACAAAGACGGGCTTTCCATGGACGCTATTCGAGAGGTGAAATATCTCCAGGAACTCTCGCACCCCAATATCATTGCGCTTCACGACGTTTTCTCTTCTAAGGACCAGAATCTCAATCTCGTCCTCGAATTCCTCCCGCTAGGAGATCTAGAAATGCTTATCAAAGATAGAAATATCCAGTATGGTGCAGCAGACGTTAAAGCGTGGATGGGGATGCTAGCTCGGGGTGTCTGGTTCTGCCACGAAAGCTTCGTTCTGCATCGTGACATCAAGCCCAACAACCTCCTCATCGCTTCGGACGGTGAAGTCAAACTAGCCGATTTCGGTCTGGCGCGGTCATTTGCGGACCCCTATTTGAACATGACTCATCAAGTGATCACCCGCTGGTACCGCCCGCTAGAGTTGTTGTACGGTGCGAGACAGTACTCGGGCGCAGTAGACATCTGGTCAATGGGAATGGTGTTTGCTGAACTCCTCCTACGCGTCCCATTTGCCGCAGGAAACACGGACATGGACCAGATCTCCAAAATCATCGGCGCCTTCGGAACCCCGACTGAGGAAAACTGGCCGGGTGTGACCAAACTTCCAAACTTTGTACCCATTGAGGAAACCCAAATCACCCCTTTACAGGGTCGTGATTTCTTTATACGACAGTTCCCTACAGCAGGGCCCTTAGGCGCCGACCTCCTCGCATCGATGTTGAAATTGGATCCACGAAAAAGAAGTACTGCGCGCCAAGTCTTGCAGCATCCGTGGTGGGTGGCTGAGCCGCGGCCAACGCGAAATGAGGACCTTCCGCGAAAGGCCGGCGGTGCGAAGAAGATGGGGGACGACTTGGTAAGGCGGGGTGGGGAAGTTGATGACACTCGATTTAAGAATGCAGCAAGGCAATTGGATTTTAGCGCGCCGAGATGAAATAATATTGTTTTACACAAGGGTATTACTATGCTACCCTCGGTCGCGGATGGCTTTGCATGATGCGACCCATAGCCCCGTTTAATTCGGTTTTTGACGACAATACCGAAGAGGTTGATTGGCTTAGATTGCTTCTAACATAGTTTACATTCTAGCCAATAGAACAACATACGCAGCAGACCAACCGCGCAAGCCCGACATCCTGAACGCTGCCGGTGAATGGTGTTAATAGCCCCGTCACCATCCCTGAACGAGAAAAGTTGTCGTCAAACACAACATGGACCCCCGATTTGAGAAGTCTTGTTAGCGTATCTGATGCCGTGACGGAAAATTTCAAGCCACACAGGTTAGCCTCCAAGGATAGGGCCAGCTGGACATATTCCCACTACTGTAACCATCATTATTCCCGGGAAGGTAGAAGGGGCGAAAGCGGTGTCTTCCTAGCTACATACCAACGTGGTCTCAGTATCGGGCATTGCAAATGGGGCGGTATTTTGGAACTGCTCGGAAACTGCTCGGTTCACTACAAAAGGAAGAGGAGGGGGGATCTTAATTGAGCTCCAGAGGACAAGGCAAAAAAGCAAAAAGGCATTCCGGGCGGCATTCCGAGCCAGCCTTTGGAACTGACAGAAAGGAAAAGTTTTTGGAACATAACTACTCAGGATATACAAGTGGTTAGCATACATATTCGTTTGCAAGCACACTACAGCAAAGAGGACCTCGCGACTTTGTCCGATTTCCCTGATAATAAAAGTTACGAAATAGGATTATAATTTTCCACCAGCGGGAGTACCTTAGCGAAGAAACTCGCGCTCACACGACACACGGTCATATCAAGTTCCAGGCGCTGTGCGGGTTATTACATAGTACACGCACATCGTGCGAAGTCGGTATGGATTGGCCTGTGAAGGGGGTCAAGGGGGTGGCTTTGCCCCACCAGCCACACGTACTAGTTAGTTATTAGTTAACTAGCTAATAAATAAGTTAGTAGAATTGAGTGAGTTCGTGGGCGCTCTCCTGTGTTGTTCATGATTCATCCAGACTCCGTCAGATCTCGGGATGGTTTACGGTTTTTTCCCAAGTTCGACAGCAAGATCCAGCCGTTTCGTATCCACTTCCCATTCTGCAGCAGTCCAGTCCCATTATTGTATCATTTGTATCATTCTGCATAGAATCCTCCACCAACCAGACATTCTCTCTGCATTGGCGGGGGCGTCGAGAGACAGTTGCGGCTGAGGTGAACCTTGGAAGTTCAGGGCTTTGAGATTGACTCTGATCTGCGGAGTATCCCCCGTTTTCTGTGCTTCTGTGTAACTAATAAGTTATTATTTAATGTTATATGAATGAGCCTGCGCCTGGATCTTCCATCTCACCCGCTTCTATTCTTTCAGCGCTTTGGATGCAGCGTCTTCGAGCCCCTCGAAGATAGTTAACTAGTCAACTTACCTAAATCCATCAGCAACGGGAATTACATAAGAATCTCTGCGCCACAGGCCCACTACAGCCCTATATACGATTATCTCATATCTATCTCCATTAAGTTTGAGTTAGTTATCTCTCTCGCCTTCAAGCTTGAAATATATAACTAATCATGACAATAATAACAATAATAACAATAATAACACTAATAATCACCTCCAGCTCCCCAGGCTATGCCCCACAGGCCTTCATCCTCCAGCTCGCTCCCCAATCTGAACTCGAAGGTGAAGTCCAACTCCAGCTCAGCCCCTCGACAAGAGCAACCTGCTGGCGGTTTTGATAGTACCCCTGTCCCCGCCGCACCTCCAGGTTTCACCCTCAAGTTCACATTCCACCGCGCCTCCAACCTCCCGATTGCTGACATCAGCACATTGTCCGCGGACCCTTTCGTCCTCGCCTATCTTACCTCTACTCTTCCTCGCCGCAACAAACAGGATCCCGATCTCGTATTTCGCACTCCGACTGTTTCTAGGAGTGTTGAACCTGTTTGGAACTGCGACTGGATTGTTGCCAATGTCCCTGCTTCTGGCTTTGAGCTGAAATGCCGCATCTACGATGAAGACCCTGTCAATAGCGATGACAAGCTCGGAAATGTCAAAATATCCGTCCCGTCCATCAATGAATCGTGGCCTGGAATCACTGAGCAGCCCTACAAGGTGCAGAAGCGCACGGCCAGCAAGCGGGCCTACTTCATGCGGTCTTTAGGCGTGGTCTTCTTGAGGAACAAACACATGAACGCAACTTTGTACATGAGCGTTCAATGCCTTGGTAGGACCCCCGGCGATGAGGGAGGTAGAATGTATACCATCGGCCCTCTCCACTGGAGTAAGCATTTTTCGCCCTTGATCGGGAGGCTTGCTGGCACCATGGATTCTGCCCCGGTCCAAGATGGCAAGAAGCCGGTCACCAGATATAAGTATGTCTTTTCTATACGTGTAAACTAAATATGTGTGTGCATATACATGTTTGTTTCGTAAGCGACTGATACCGTACTGTTATCTGATCCTACAGTTTCCAGGCTATCCAGATTCAGCTGAAAGGCCCAGTACCCGCCTCCCTATATCATCGATATGTCGAATTCAAACCTTTTGTCAAAGGCATGTTCACGGCGCAAAGTCTTCGTGGTCGCATTCTAAACCATGCTCTCCATCAGCAGCATGTAAGGATCTACAATTTCGATAGGTCCACTGTCTATGGTGTATATCCCACTCCATCACACGAATTCACCCAAAAATTTCTCGAATTCGTCCACTACGACATGGACGGGAGAATATTCACCTACGTGATTACTCTGGACGGCCAATGGCGCTTTACTGAAACAGGCACCGAATTCGGCATAAACATGCTCAGCAAACACACCATGCACAGCAACGTTTCGATATACATTGCCTTTGCCGGTGAATTCTTTGTACGACGTCGTTCACAACCTGCTGGGAAACCGCGGAGCAGATCTCCTCCCCCAAGGTCAAAAAGTGATTCTATACGCCAAATAGATGTATCACCAGGCGACAGCGAGGCTTCCGCACCCGCATCAACTGATCCAGCTGTGTATGAGCTTGTAATTGATAATGATAGCGGCACATACCGTCCCAATGCCAAACTGCTTCCCGAGCTGAAAGAATTTTTATCCATGAACCTCCCTGGTTTAGAGGTGACGACCTTTGACTGCCAGGAAGATGCAAAGCTGTTAGACAAACTAAAGGAAGGGCAGCGACACCGTAAAACAAGAAGCGGTCGGCAAATGACCTACCTTCAACGTGTGATCTCACTTTCGTCGATTTCATCTTCTGACGAGGAAGACCTCGACGAGTATTTTTGGCACTCGTCTGGCGCAGCAAGTGCACCAGCCACACCTCTAAAGCGCTTGCGACGAATGGCAAAGCCCAAGGCGCAGTTGATTAACTGGGCGGAAAGAGCAGGCGAAAAAAGAGGAGAAACAGCAAATCATTAATTCATGAAGATATCAGACAAACCAGAATGGAGAATTTGGGCTAGGGGCGATGGAATTAAAGTATTGTTTTCGAGGAATGGCAATCAATTGTTTACTTATTTGTCATTTCTTCGCTCTCAGAGAGCCTTACCACTTTGTCTACGTACACACACTCAATGTTATACATTATTTAATTACCTAACTCATACACTATGATAGTTATACGCTAGAAACGGTCGTGTAGTATTCATTGTGAGGTGCGCACGAAAGCTTAATCTGCCCTGCCCCCTATCCTATGACGTAGGTATATAACTAGTTCGAGCAAGCGAGTTTTCTCTGCCTGTGGCTTATGTAATTCTCCGCCCAATTGTCCGCTCCGCCAGTTCCAGTTCCGCGAGGGTTCTCCAGATATTTATTTCCGGCATCAATACCAGGAATATTGGTATCTGGGAATATATATCTTTAACCTGCTCCCTTCCCTCCCAGGTGGACTATTTTCTAGGTGTATGGGATCCGTTCCTAAGCAATGTCTTGACCATCCACTCCTTTCGCCTTCCCGGCCATTCGCGTCTACACATGCTATACGATGCGTTCTCCCGCCTCCCATTCGCTCCGAATGCTAGCATCGTCTCGTAGCCCTTTTCCGCAGTCTAATATGATCTCCCTCACAAGAGCGATCCACAGCCAGCGATTCCAGCCCTTTGTTCCGCCTTCCCCAAGCTCACTCTCCAAACCCGCCCCTCCCAGAACATATCCCCGCACCAGAAAATGGCTTCGCCGCCTCTTTTACATAACTCTGGGTGGTGGCATTGTTTATGGGATTGATAGACAATTCTATGCTTCCTGCTTGACACGCACAGCTCGCACTTTTGGCTTGGGTGTGCTAGTCGCGATTGACTATAAAGTAAATTTTAGCCCCGAGCCTCTATTTGCTGAGTCGATTGCGGCGGTACATGCGAGAAATGCGGAGCGTCTGTCTATCTTACTCCGCTCAAACGGTGGCTTGTATCTGAAAATTGGCCAGGCTATTGCCATGCAATCTGCCATTCTGCCACCTGAGTTTCAAAAAATGTTTTCGAGCATGTTCGATGATGCTCCGCAAAATGACTGGAAGGATGTCGCTCGTGTCATAAAGGAGGACTTTGGTCGCCCCGTGGAGGAGGTGTTTGGAGTTTCTTTTGATGGGAACCCTGGAAGTGGTGTGATGGAACGGGTAGCAAGAGCCAGCGCCAGTGTTGCCCAGGTTCACTGGGCAAGGTTGCCGGATGGCAGAGAGGTCGCCATTAAGATCCAGAAGAAAGAGATTTCGCAGCAGGTGAAGTGGGATTTATGGGCTTTTAAGTATGTTTTCGCACTTGTCCTTTTCCCTGCTCAACTCATTACCCTCGTGTCGCTTTTAAGAATACTCCTTAACAAGTAGTGATTGAAATTCTACAGGGTCGTAACGTACATATATAGCCGAGTTTTCGATATTCCATTTTACAGTCTCATTCCTTTTGTTAGCGAACGCCTATACCTGGAAACTGATTTTGAGAATGAAGCAAACAATTCCGAAAGAATGGCGAAGCTAATTGCGTCTGAACCTCGACTCCGTGATAGGGTGTATATACCAAAGGTCTACCGCGAACTAAGCTCTCGAAGGGTGATGACAGCCGAATGGATCGAAGGTGTCAAGCTGTGGGATAAGGAAGGGATCACTCGACCATGGCGAGGCGAGTGGCGGCAAGGGAGTCCAGGATGTCATGGGACACCTCTCAATCCTCCCAACCAGGGAACACGAAGAGTACCTAATGCCATTGCATCTAGGACTAGGTATGAGAATCTGAAGCCAAACCGCGACTACTGGAAGGGCAAAAATGGTCGCGGGGGCTTGGGACTGTCCCTGAAAGAAGTGATGGAGACGATGGTGGACCTCTTTTCTGCTCAAATGTTTCTTTGGGGCTGGCTACATTGCGACCCGCATCCCGGTAATGTTCTCGTGCGACGTCGACCCTCCGGCAAAGCTGAACTCGTGCTTATTGATCACGGCCTTTACATTCATATGGAGCCCAAATTTCGCCAAGAATATGCTCGCTTCTGGAAGGCCCTTCTCACGTTCGACAATGCAACCCTACACACTATAGTGCGTGGTTGGGGGGTGGAGAACACAGATATTTTTGCTTCAGCCACGCTGCTACAGCCCTACCGCGGCGGCGATCTTTCTACATCCCGTGGTCTGGAAGGACTGAGCAAGAAAGAAAGAGCTCAGAGGCACTATGAAATGCAACAAGCTATGCGCAAAGCGGCTCGTGACGTCCTTGGTGACGAGACAAAGTGGCCCCGGGAGCTTATTTTTATCGGCCGTAACTTCCGCATTGTCCAAGCCAACAACCAGTTTTTGGGTTCGCCTGTCAACCGCATCAAAATAACTGGCATCTGGGCATCCCGCGCACTAGTGGAGTCTCCTGAACTGGCACTCGCTGACAAGATTCGGAACTACGGCCGACACGTCATCTTCAGGCTTGTTCTGCTGAGCTCCGACATTTGGTTTTATGTGAGCAAAATAAGGCAACTTCTGGGCTGGGGGCGAGGGATGGAAGATGATTTGGAGACTCAAATGCAAAATATGGCCAAGGAGATGGGGGTTGAATTGAATCAAAACATTTTCGAAGGGTAGTTCCATCCTTTACTACTCACACGAATACCTGTACTATATGTAACTTAAAAATTGTTCTTCAATTGCAGGCCCTAGAGCTCTGGTTTTGGAGATGTGCTATGGGTGCTCTTGCCGCCAGATCCGGCAGCCAAAGATGTTCATGGCAATTGCTTATATAGATCCCATTTCAATATGTACTACAAACCCCCCCCCCCCCCCCCCCCCCCCAACCCTTCTCGCTGTATTTGTGTTCTGTGATGATACAGGAATCTAAATTATACAGGCGCGGAGGGATGCGCAGAAGGGGCTAGCGGATGGGTGAACCTTGAGAGGATAAACAGCAATGTGAACTTGATCACTGTCACCAACGCTGCTAAACTTAGTGCTAGAGCTTTGCCGGGCCCAGCCGCTGCCTATCCATCTATACGAAGTACAGAGTAAACAGTGCGAGGGATTGTGTATGAATCAGCATCAATCATTCTTATCGCGGCCCAACGGGCGACTCCACTGCGTCGACACACATTATCAAAACAATCCTGGCCTGCCCTGAATGTGCAGTGGAGAGGAGATACCTCTGTTGAGTTTCGAGTTTCGTGGCTTGATGCGAGAAACAACCGACGCTGCGTTTTAGCAATCCATATCAATGGTTCCTCTCAGGCCATTATGTCTGTCATGCTTGGTGTGATGATTACATTTCTTAATCACGTTAATAATAATAATGCTAAAGACTCAATTAACTTACCCCGCAGTTAGCTCTCTAATCTTCCACATCCATCATAAATGCTATACATTCTGTGATTGTGAATTTCACCATGGGAATACTTCAAGTCTGAAACTGAGAACAAACTATACTGTACCTTGCTCTATTCTTGGTGATTCCTGCTGTTAATTTCGTTCGAACGTCTGCGCTTTGGCCGTGTTCTTCCTCAATGACTCCCGCCAACTTCACTGCAGTTGTATTCGTCACGCGGAAATCGGGCATTTCTCCAGCTGAATTTCAAGACCACTGGGACAACAAGCATGTTCCTTTACTAAAACGCCTTACCGGATCGCGATTCCCCTTGTCTCATACTCGGTATTACCTGAAGCGAGATGCCACCCCTCCTCACTACCCAGTCACGGCCCTGGTGGGCGACTCGGCCGCCTTCACCTACGATGGGTTTGCGATTCTAACCTTCAAGAGTGAGGCAGCCTTTCAAGAATATCTACCGATTGCGAGTCATCCCGAGGTGATGGAGGATGAGAAACAATTTGTACACCTGGCCGAGCTGAAGGCTGTCGCTCTGGCTGATATTCAGACAACTGTATCTGAGCACAGTTCTTGAGAATGAAGCTGGGTATTTTTATATTGTTCAAGTCTTCATTTTATCATGTTCTGCTCTCTGCTGTTAGAATATAAGTTTGGTTTTCAGTGCTTATTTTCATTTTCTATCTATCAAATTGAAGTGTTTTCAGCTTCTTCATAACAGATATATATGAATTAAAATAACAATATAGATAAATATAGTTATCAGATGTATTTCACTCTAAGGAATATTTATATCAAAATAATACATAATCAAAAGCTTCAGAACGTTTGTAAAAGCAAATAACTCTTCTCATGAATATTTAGGCAGTGTTCTGCACGACCAAATTTGAGACATGCTGCGGCCTCGAAGCCCTCTGCTGTCAAACAGCTGTGGCCTGTATGCCAGAAAATCTCCTTGACTCTTATTGTACAGTACATACATGTACATGTACATGTACTTATTGACACATGCGACGTAGCCAAGACTGCCCCTCTCTGTTTTGTCAGCTGCTAAAAATTTCCTCCGCGTGCTCTCATCTTCTGTATCCATAGGAGAAGAAGTAGAACTAGGAGGGAGAGATAGAACGAACCCGCTGTTCCATTCCCAAAAGATAAAGAAGAGAAGAGAAAGGAAAAGAAAAGAAAAGAAAAGAAAAGAAAAGAGAAAAGAAAAAAGAAAAAAGAAAGAAAGAAAAGAAAAGAAAAGAAAAAGAGCATGGAAAGGCGTCAGCACTGCTGCCTCACTTGTAGCTTTGATTGAGACAACCATCCGCCTTGCGAGAGCTACGCGGGCGGCAGCGCAATCCTACGCCAATGCGGAGACCGGATACAAGGAACTCAAAAACTTTGGAATCCAATTTAGCGGACTGAAACTGGACCTTCTACTACCCTCGCTACAAACCCTCAAAGAAAAATTGCAAGCCAGAGAGTTCAATGTCAACCCAAGGGACCTTGCCGCTTTTGAAGTGGTCCTCAGAACAACCGTCTCCACCTTGGATAAAGCGAGCTCCTACCTACAACGTAACAACCCTCAGGGGGATCGTTTTGCTAGGTTGAAATGGGCGTTGTGGATCGAGGCAGAGGCAACAAGGAACATCGCGCTCGTTGAGAAACGGCTCGATCTCCTCTCACGCCTCTTACAGGATGCTGCGCTGGTCAGCCCGCAAAAGGCTCTGAGCTCCCGCCAGCTTCGTGTGAAAGATGGCGAAAAATTTATCGTCAGTGACGGTATATATCGCACACAGGCTAACTATAAGCCGAGAGGACCCGATGATCGACTAGTACTCGAGGGAATTGACATTCTAGTCCAATCCTGTGAGCCAGGGAAGAATTCTTCTAGGAGCCAGCGGATCGCTGGATACTGTCAGGCTTTACGTGGGAAGGATGATAGCGGATCTCCCTTTCAGACCGGGTTCCTGCCATGCATTGGGTTCAAGAATGGACGTATTGCCTTCCTGCTTCCAAGAAATATCGATTGGGGAAAACATCCGACAAGTTCACTGCTGGCCCTGATGTCAAATAGTCAAGGACAGCAGCTAGAACATGCCATACCCCTTGAGAGACGATTGGACTTGGCGACTCAATTATCCGAAGCGGTGCTAACGACTCATCTCTCTGGCTTCGTGCATTCCGCTATACGGAGTGAGACGATTCTCTTCCTGGGGCCACCCGAGGATTTCAAAGACGTGCCCTTGGAGGGCGTAACTTTGAATGCCACACTCCAAACCCCTAGTCAGGAAGTGACAGTGGGCGAGAATAAGAGAGCCAATGACCCACTGGAACCTAAACCTGGAATTTTCAGGAGGATGTCGAGAATTGGAAGCTTTAATAAGTCAAACCTGCGAACGAAAAATAGTCTTGGATCTTTGAGGCGGTGGAAAGCGGACCGAGAAAACAATATCAAGAACAGCAAGAATAATAAGAACAATGATGATATTATAAATGGCCCGCAAGCACCGGGGCCAGACGAGCATGTGGCGTCCCCGGACAACAACACGATTGAAGATACAAATGGCCTCTGGGATGTCGGGCCCGGACATGGAAGCGTGTACCTTGTTGGCTGGTGGTCGATGCAGGCGCATGCTGGGATGGAACAGCTGCAAGAACAGGACAAGGGCTGGCACAGAGCTATCTACCGCCACCCAGATCAATGGAGCAAAAACACTCTCAGTAACATGGGGCATGACATCTATAGTTTGGGCGTTTGCCTTTTTGAGATTGCAATGTGGGAGAGTTTGCTCGTCAGGAAGTCTGAGTTGAATGATGATGAGTATGTCGAGGGAAGCTTCGAGCCCTCTGAGCTATTAGTCCGCGAAGCTGGGTTTAAGGACGGGCAGGATCTAACACGGAAGGGGATGAGAAGTAGGGACGGGCAGATGAAGGTGAAGAATGCCCTGTTGAAGATTGCGGAGGAAAAGCTTCCGGCGCTGGTGGGATCTGGGTATGCCGATGTTGTCAGGGCGTGTCTCACCTGTCTTGATGCTGATGGGAGCGGCAAGTATCGTAAGTGGGATGACGGGGTTAGGTTAGATCAAATGGACCATGACAGTGTCAGGAAGAACTGTGATGCGTTCAAACAGGTAGTTCTTTCGCGTCTTTGGAATCTTGCGACTGCGTTCGCGGCCTGACCTGGTCAGCGGTCTCGAGTAACTATTTTTTAAGCACCCTGTCTGTCCTCTTTAACACAAGTTCAACCTATTATATATCCACCTATAGATAGACCTTGAAGGACGTTGTTTACTCTGTGATGATTCTGAATATGAAGTTGATGGGCTTGATTGATTGAAGAATCCTAGCCAAGTGAGAAGTTAAATAGTTATTTAAATAGTTAAATAATCAATTGAGGAATAAATATAAAAGGGCGTTGGATTCAGAAGTTCAATCACAACCTCTGCAGTTTTCAAATCGTCACTCATATTTAAGCTTTCTTAACTACTTCTGTCTAGATCTCTCTTCACACATATTTATCAAGCCACCTGCCAACCCTCTCTACATTGATCATGGCTCCAATAGAGATGTAGCCCGAATCTGTCATCAACCGAACACGTTGTCAAGTTCAGTGATGTCCAACAGCTATTTGAAATGATCAGAGCTATCGTCAGCATGGAGATTGCCTCCACTGCAACGAAGTGCGAGTGCCCCCAGGCAGCATCTGAAGCCCCCTAGATATGCGGCATCTACGGAACCCCTAACTCTCAAGGATGTTGAGGAACTCATTTGGAAGCTCATCGACGAAAAAACAGCAAACGCTTCAGCTCCAGAGAACGAACTCAATAATCAGCTCAGGTTTATGGGGATGGTCAGTCGGATGATCGGCTCAGGTTTCAGACGGTCCTCAACCCGATACCAGGGACAATCAGGTGGCTAAAACTGATGCCAACGACACCAACGCATTCAAATCAGTTGAAGAAGTGTATGATACCACTGCTAAATGAGTGGGATCTTGCTGACAAACCATTTTCGATACATCTGGGATCATAGGATGTACAAGTATGCACTTGTGGAGCCAGCAAAGTCAACTCATGAGATAACTACATTGGACAGATACGTTTTCATTATCCGCAGAAGAGTGGGTCAGTAATGACTCCCATAATGGTGTACTGTATCTGATTATTGTCCGACAGACAAGGATACGAAAGAGACGAAGTTCCACATTGACATCAAGTCGGAGAGTTTGCGCGATATCCTGAGGACTATCTTGGGAGATGTTCAAGGAATCAGCTTGAAAGAACCAGTCCCATTTGTACGTCCTCTCTGTTTCTATACTTCCAGCAGCCTTGACTGACTGTCTTTTAGGTTGAGCAGAATCTCTTACACCACTATCTACCCGAATTAGGGTTATATCGAGGACTAAAACTCTATCGGGACGTCGACCAGAGTAAGATCGCCGAACATGAATCACACTTGGAGTCGCTCATCGACTACATCAAGACAGCCTATGACTCACGAGATAGAGTCTGAACCCCCTCTAAGAAGACGGCCACATCACATATGACCTACTTTGGACCCTCTTCAAATCAAATACTTTGGTATATACCAAGTGTTTCGGCACAGGAAAGCCAAGATGTGTCAAGTATGATTTTGGAGAAGAATGGAATACAATCAGTGGGGTGAAGTAATTTCACATGGAAGGTTGTTATCTCGATTTTGATGGAAAGGTCCTTGGTGAAACAGTAATTCATCTCTCAATTGAAAAGTTTCATGGCGCCAAGTGGATTGACACACTTGAAGTATTTCCTCTTCATTGCCACTCAAACGAAAGGGATGCAAGGGAGCAACTACTCAACTGTGGTCACAGATTTCTTGGATTGACAGGTATCAATCACGTTGAGTACCTTGGGAAGAAGGCCTTCTACATGGAGAAAGGACGCCCAATTGAGGTGACCATCAATGGTCAAATCCCAAATCATGGTTGATCCAGCCCACTTCAAAGAAACCAACCCAAACTACAAGAAACCCAGCATTAGCGAGCCTTCTAGGTCTGCAACTGATATTTGGCTCTTTTTGGATGTGGAGGGTACCACTGAAATATCTACAGATGTCATCAAAAGCATCGGGAAGGAATCAGCTGACATGGCTGGAGATGATGTGCTCCTGTGCAATCCGACAGTACTTGGTTTCAGCCTTGACAAGAAGTTATGGCATAAGCATCATGATTCAGTATGCTTGAGCTTCTTGTCCAACTGACATGTCTACAGTTGAATTTGCTGTTGATGGCATTGAGGATATCAAATGGCAGCCTGCTGCTGTCGCCCATCTCCAACTCTTGACAAGAAAAAGAAGGCCATACAGGCTCTTTCTGAGGCCCACATGCCACGAAAATCTGGCAACCGTGTTGATGATTTTGTTGTTGGGAAAGGCCAGGGCCTAAATGTGCTTCTATAGTGCGGTGACTGATCATATGAATTCATAATTGCATGCTGACTTTTATATAGCGGCCCACCAGGTGTGGGGAAGACTTTGAACGGCTGAGGTCCTATCTGAGCATCTTCAAAAGCCACTCTATTCGGTATGTCTGCTTAAACACCATCTTACACACATACTAACAATAATACTGGTCTCCGCGGGCGAGCTGGGCACTAGTGCAGAAAGCGTTGAGGCACGCCTTCCAGGTATCTTCCAACGCGCTTCAAGATGGAATGCTCTTCTCCTACTTGATGAAGCAGATGTTTACTTAGAGCAGCACTTGCCCTCAGAGATAATTCACAATGCCATAATCTGTGTATTCTTGCAAACACTTGAATATTACCAAGGCATCATGTTCCTGTTGGAGGTTCTCCACTGGCCCTCACCCACGTGACCCACACATATATTAGTTGCCGCTAGCACTAGAATAACAACCAACCAAGTTCAACCTCTTCTACAGGTTATGAAGCCCTTGCACTTCTACAAAGTGTTATAACCATGCAATAATCATACAATAAGCTTTTCAAATAGCTGCTTTTTTCATTCAAATACCCCATATCAAATGCCTGTCAATACGAGATCGATCAACCGCGAAGAGACTCCAGAGAATCAGATAGCTGGATTCTTTCCAACACCAATAACCGCGCGAAGATGATGTAATAATCAAGCCCAAGATAATTCTCCAGAACCCGAAGATATGGCAGATCATGATGAAGCCACCATTCTGAGGCAGCTTATTGCTCAGAAGGATGAGGAAATACACTGAATGAGAACTGTCCCTGCCAATCAAAGCACTCCAGCTACAACTACTGTCAATGATGACAATGATCTAAGCTCTGATCTTGCAGAATACCTTCAAAATCAAGACAACATCTCTGCACTGAGCAGAGTTCTTCAAGAATTCCGCGAACATGTCAAATACCTTCAAAAACCAGGTCTTCTCAAATCAACATCTGATTATCCCATTTGGAAGGAAGAGATCCTGCTTATTGTCAAGCAATCTCATACAGAAGATATCCTCACTAGCAAGCCCTTGAAGAATGCCTCTAAGGATATGAAATGATTCTGGGAGGAATGCAACTCCTGACTATATAATTTTGTATGATCTTCTGTTTCTATTGAAGTCAAATCTCTTTTTACTATACCTCAAGATTCCCTGAGTTCTGCTGCTCTATGGAACATCATAGCAGCATTCTTTTCAGAACAGGTGAAAATCCACAGAGTCTGTCTGTTCAAGGAATTCAATGATATCAGTGCAACTGCTATCTATGATGGCTTCAATCACTTGTTCATAGAACACCTGCTTGCAATCCGCGTTGAGTATATTCACCTTGGATATGCTAATATCCTCAACTTCATATTCTTCAACAAGCTCCTCAACAGCCTCACCAAGAAGTGATCAACCTTTATCAGAGATCGCATGGACTATGCAGCAAAGGATGATAATGTCACATCACTAGAAGATGATTTCCTTGATCTCTGCAGGGATATACTACTCCGCCTGCTGTTGGATGACACAAAGAATGCCAAAGACACCATTAAGAAGGATAAGAATAATAAGAAGAACAACAAGAAGTGCACTCACTGCAAGCAGGATGATCATGAAGAGCCTTACTGCTGGTTCACACACTCTGAAAAGTGTTCTGTTGATTGGAAGAATAGAACAAAGAATAATAATGAAAGCTCAGCACCTACATACACCACTGTTGAGCATGCCTACTAAAATGATAACCATGATACTGATAATCATGATACTGATAACCATGATACCCGGGCTGTTGAATGCCCATATGATAACCCAGGATAAAGATGATACCCCATGATAACCATGATAACCCACAATAACCAGGCCACCGAGTGCCTATATGATAACCATGATAACTCATGATAACCAGGCCACCGAGTGTGCCTATATGATAATCATGATAACCCACGATAACCAGGCCACTGAGTGTGCCTATATGATAACAATGATAACAATAACAATAAAATGATAAAAATATGAGAAATGAGACCCCGCAGTGTTCGGATGACTGAGGGGGGTAATACAGATACAGAAAGGATGGATTTGGGTGTTTTTTCTTGCATATTCGCGTGTATTTGCATGTATGGAGTTAGTCCTTATGAGAAAACTAGACTCTACTTTGTGTAATTAATTATTATTGCAGATTTGAATGATTTGAGTGCTTTTGTGGCTGCGTGGGCTAGATGGCCGGCGCAGAATGAGGGGGTGTTGGAGGTTCTCCACTGGCCCTCACCCACGTGACCCACACATATATTAGTTGCCGCTAGCACTAGAATAACAACCAACCAAGTTCAACCTCTTCTACAGTTCCAGACAACCAATCGGGTCTCACATATTGATGATGCTATCACTAGCAGAATCCAGTTCAAGATCAACTATAATACCCTTAGCCCAGATCAAAGGAGGAGTATCTGGAAATGCGTTCTGAGAAGGGCATTTGCAGGTCAAGGACTGCCGGATTACAACAGCTTGGACCTCGAGAACCTAGTGCAAAGGGAGCTTAACAGTCAGGATGTAAGTCCTCTCCTCACAGTGATAGACAATTACTAATATGCCTCTAAGATCAAAAACTTGGTGTCTATAGCACTTGCCCTAGCCGAACAAGACGGAACTCAGCCGGGAGAATCTCATCTGGACATCGCGATTGACACAAGTGCCAATTTCGAATCCGACTTTCGGGCCGGGGGAAGGATCGAAAATATGAACAATTACATGTGATCTGGGAAGTCCACTATGCTGTGATCTTTGTCTTCTGCCTGCATAAGAAGCAAGGATTGGGAGAGCTGGCCTTCATATACGTTAATTTTATTTGCAGTGTCTACTCGCGGATGTGCAATTGGGATAGTTGGTTTGCCTATATTGACACCAAGTCGAAATTGCTTTGTGGTGGGATAGTTATCATAGTCATACTCTGAGCGATACATACATACAGTATCATCTACAAGTGTCTCTATGGGAAGTGTGAGAGACTCCACAGATAATTTCGCAATAGTCACAACAATGGTCTCGTAAGTTGCATCAACAACAGGCCCGATGAACGAACTCACTGGGCCAACATTGCAGGTTCATGCATGTAAATCAAATATGTTGCTGTGGTTGTCTCTAGATAGTGCAGAGGAATGTATATAAGCGACTTCAATTCATATCTGCCGTCGTTCATAAGTCAGGCTCTGAATCCTCGCCTGAATCAGGACAGATCATTTCATTAAACTTAAGTCTGCTATCTCTTGCATTTGTTGAAACCTGGTTGGCTGTTCAAATGTGAAGAGACTGGTAAAGAATCGTAGCCGACAGGAACAGCACGAGTGAGCGACGTGGACGAAATAAACGTAGTGTAGTAGTTAGTGGATAACCCCTGTTGATCGCTCCGACCCACTGTGAGAACGCCAGTGACAATCCAATGACCATGTACGGAGTACACAGTATGTCTACAATTGAAGAAGAAGAAGAAGAAGAAGAAGAAGAAGAAGAATCTTCATGTTTGTATGACTGGAGGATCGTTGAGCCGTAGAGAGTCTGCGGGGGTCAAGTCAAGAGCTCTAGGAGAGGGCTGCGATGATGAGATCGGGGTATTGTATCAGAGGATTTCTTCTGACGGATCCTAGCCACGCGACATAATAATAATAGGTTTTGCGAGTATTATTTAACTACTGTGTATATTCTGCTATGAAGCCGAAGGGGTATTGACATATAGGTTTTAGCCAACTTCGTACATTGTTCTCCAGATGGACTTCCCTAGCGGTGCCTCTGGACAGACGGCCTCTTATGGATCTTCCACTCTGGAACAGTTGGTGCAACGTCCATCTTTAATAATAATCGAAGGTTTTCCCGCAATAGCAGGGCAGATATATAGCCATTCCAAGAGGGGCCTCTTTGGTAAACTTTGAGGATCGCATGGAAATGTAAGTACCTGAAACCGGAGGCCAAAATGATCGCAGACAAATCTTCTCGCTGGGATTCGTGAATGAACATATTATTAGTAGCAGATAATAACCAACTAACTTACAGACTTTAACTTTTGAGAAAAAACGGTTAAGGAAAATCGAATGTCGTGGCAGCCAACCGAGTTACTAGGCCACACAGGAAAGGAGAATAATAACAACGATCCCTGCATTATTATTCTTATTGAAATAAACAACAGCAACGCGCAGAAAAGACGGCATTTCTGATTACTTCGCAAAAAGGGGGAACGAGCTCGGTTTTTACCAATTGCTTGCGGGCAGAAGGGAGTGTAGTTACCGTACCTGTTTTTATTTTTAATTTTTTGTTTTTATTTTGGTTTTATTATCTTTTTTCGAGGGGGCGGCGCGATGGCGTTCTATCCCACCCAACGGTCAACGAGAAACAAGAACCTTGGGATTTTCGGTCGAAGGAACGCGCACCGCCTACAGCCAATGAAGAGCCTGAAACCTTGGGCAAGCGAATCCACTGGTGGCCGAATCACACCGGGTTCTGTGACTAGACAGAGCTTAATATGACTGCCTGTGTACGCTATAACTTAGTAGAGCCTAATCATAATGATAGTGGTCGGAGGCCCCTGCGACAAAAACAAACCAGGCCAAGCAGCATGCATGTCGCGTTGACAGTGTTGGGATTCCAAAGGCGGGCAGGGCAGGGACTGACTCGGAAGCATGAGAAGAGGAGGATGGTTTTGCTGTGAGAGGGTCCCTTTTTTTTTTTTTTTTTCCTTGTTTCCCCCTTATTCCTCCAACATCCGTATTCTGTTGGAGGTAGGGTAGGGTAGAGAGCAGTCTGTATAACTATTGCAGTGGTCCTTGGGCTTTCGATGCTCCCCGCGAACACGTTATGTGTGATGTGAGCCAGGGGACCAGTCCGTTCCTTATCCTGAACCTTATTAATAATAATCTGGCATATTTTATCAAAGGGCGTTGTCTGGTTGACGGGGATTTTGGGCTGGGCGCGTGGTGTAATAATAACTGTATCAGGATGATAGGAGGCAATGGAATTGAGACATATGTATATGAGCCATAATAGCGACGATATCTGATAGAAATAACTAATAGTTGTTAATGTCTCAATCATAGTGCAGGATTACAGTTGCGGACAGAGTGAACGTATTGTTTGTAGTGTACGGAGTAGTGTAGTAGTTGTAGTGCGGGTGGTGGTGTAACTACGGAGTAGTGTGGTGTAAATAGTGTAGTGTGTTGTTGTGTTTACATCGTTCGTTTTTATTAATATTATTGTCTTGTCCTGCCAAACACGAACAACACAATCACCACCAACCGCCTCATTCCATCCATCCATCTATCTATCCATATCCATCCATCCATTCATTCATTCATTCATTCATACCCATCCATCCATCCCAACCTCATCTATCTAGTTAAATATCTCCTTTTTTCGTCTCTTCTCTCCACAACATCGATCCCAACTAGGACTCCGACTCCTCCTCTGTTCAACTCCTAGACTCGCTCTCTTGCCCTGGGGTTGTCTGAGCTTCCTTACTACTTGTCCTCCGTAGATTTCTCCCGATTGCCCAGCTGTGTGTCTCCACTTTCTTTTTTACTCCTTACTTTGTTGTCTGCTTTCTTAAATATTCTCCTGCGACGTCGAGGTCCTGTTCGTCCCGCCTATCGCTTACTTAGCACCTTCGCCAATCCTTATTATTCCTTTCGATATATTCCGTACCCACCGGCTATAATTGGATTATCTGCGAGACATTCGTCTGTCTGTCTGGCCTTAATCTTGAGTGTAACATGATACTTCAGTGACAACATCCCGCTCTCAGTCCCTGACATCTGGGAGGTTGAAGCTGCAGCAAAATGTGACTATCCTGCATCCAACCAACCCCAAGGACAACCTTCTGATGCTGTGTACCTCTCTCGTGGCTTGGAATAACATATTCCTTTGTGTACCAGTGTATCAGTCTTTGACTTACTGGACCTGTCATGGAAGATTCATGAGATGTACATGTACATTCATTGGGTTTTTCTTATCATTTTCAAATCCATGCGTTTTCCCCTTGCTCAACATCGAAGGACAAACCGCTAATCTCTCACACACAAAGACATATGTAGTTCCCAGCCCTTCGATTCTCCCGAGTAAATCTGTTCCAATCGCCTCTTTAACACGCCTGGATAGATTCTAGGACCTAAGTTTCCACCACATCTGCATCGCCCTGCACCCGTCCTGCCCCGATCGATTCTTCAGCGGCCGGACCTTGTTTCCCTCGCCAAACATCCTTCATTTTACCTTAGAGAACTCCGGATAAGCACGCGCATTCATTCAAACCGTAACCAAAAACATAACCGTACCCGATAGAGACGCGTCTACCTCCATGGATATACCACCAAGGATCCAAGCAATTTAGCACGCGAAATTACCAAATCGCAGTGGCCATTCCTAGGTCGTTGGATATTGTGGTGATTCACCGATATTTTTATTTGACACCCTCCTACGTTCTTGTGTCACCTTTTCCTTCCAAGTGGCTACACGTTTGCGTTTTCTCGCGGTACTCTGATCGGGCTACACAAAAATCCCTTCAACATGGCCTCGACACTCCCACAACCCTCACGCCCCTCGACAAATCCTCCTACTACAGCGCTTCCTCCGTTGCCTGTTACAAGGTCAAAGAAAAGCATGCTGGCCCATTCAGAAACTTCCAAAGCTCCTTCGTCCACCTTAAAGCCCTCGAAACTTCGCACACCCTCTGCTTCACCACGCCCTTCTGCATTGGCCATGCCTCAACCGTCAAATACTTTATCCGGCGTCGCTGCTCCAGGATCTCCTTCTGTCGGTCTCGCCCCAGGCAGTCCTGATAAAACCCTGCGCCGTGCTGTCAGCATTGCCGCTTTTCCCCAACCCCCTAAAGCGGGAAACCGCCCCTCTGTCAACTCAAGCACTTCTTCGCTCTCCCAACTTTCGACCAAATCACGATCCCCAGACCAATCGAAACCACTCACCTCGTCGAGCAGTTTACGTCTCAAGAAGGCAAGAACTTCCACTAGTTCAGGGAATACTTTCAAAGGACCTAATTCCTCCAGAACACCCAGCCTGCTGAATAGTAGTGGAGATGGGAAGTCTATTCCAAATGCTCCAAATGCTAGAAATTCCGAGGGTCATTTCAGTATCCCCTCCCCACCACAGAGCAGGAGCTCATCAGCCCAGGGATCCTACTCGACCAGTGCCACCACCTATGATGAAGTCGACGATAGCGGGCGAAGAGGCCGAGAGGAGTCCGATGCCATTTCTGGCAATGGAAAACGCTCTTCTGAGGGAAAAGAGGCGAAAGGGAACGTCATAGTAAGCGTCAGAGTTAGACCCGATACGAGCGGCGGAGAAAACTCCAAATCCGATGGAGAATGGATGGTTGACGGCCGAAGATCGCTTGTATCTCACCGTGGAAAGGAATCAGGAGATTACTTTTATGGTAAATTCCCTCGTAATTGTCGAAATCTTACAAGGCTTCTTTTTACACCACACTGACATTTTTTCGATGCTCCACAGATAATGTATTTACAGCTCATGATAACAATGCTAGAGTATACGATTCATGTGCGAAACGACTTGTTCGTCGGGTTATGGAAGGTTATCACGGTACAGTTTTCGCGTACGGAATGACTGGGACTGGAAAGACATTTTCGATGCAGGGCACTGCTACATCTCCAGGAGTTATCCCCTTGGCCATTACAGACATATTTTCTTACATTAGGGAAACACCGCATCGCGAGTTTTTACTTCGTGTAAGCTATCTAGAAATTTACAATGAGAAAATCCACGACTTGCTGTCGCCGCCTCCTTCCGGAACCGGCCCTGGAGCTCCGCAACAGGAAGAAATCAAACTAAGAGAAGACAGCAAACGAGGTGTATACGCCTCGCCTCTCAAGGAAGAAATTGTGCAAAGTCCAACTCAATTATTACGAGTTATTGCAAGAGGTGACCACGCCCGAAGGACTGGAAGTACGCAATTTAACGCCCGTAGCTCCCGGAGTCATGCCGTTGTGCAAATTGTAGTGGAAAGTCGAGAACGAGTTCCTGCAGGGAATTCTTCACAGGAGAAGCGCACGGCAATGGCCCCGGGTGGAGTGCGTGTCTCAACCTTGAGTCTGATTGATCTTGCTGGATCCGAACGCGCGGCAGAGAATAAGGAACGGAGAACAGAAGGCGCTCACATCAACAAGAGTTTGCTTACTCTCGGCACTGTCATTGCCAGGCTATCAGGGGATAAGGATAAGAATGGCCAGCCCACCGATCGAGACGGGAAACATTTACCGTATCGCGACAGCAAATTAACACGATTGCTGCAACCTGCTCTGTCAGGCAATTCTCTTGTCAGCATTCTTTGCACCCTCCAGATCGGATCTGGTGCGAGTGCCGCTTCCGCCCAATCTCACACGGGAGAAACATTGAATACCCTGAAATTCGCGGCTAGAGCGAAGAACAACATTGTCAGTCATGCCAAAAGAGCTGAAGAAGCGCTAGGGAGCACTGGGGGGGATGCCGGTAGTCGAGTTCTCTTAGAGCGTTACCGCATGGAAATCCAATCGCTCAGATCCCAACTTGAAGGCCAAGCGAGGGTTCAAAACGAGAAAGAGGAGATGTGGGAACAAAAGATGCTCGAGAAGGAGGCAGAGAACCGTCATGAAGAACAAATGCTAGAAATGCAGCTCGCTCGGACAGCCCTCAAGGAGCGTATCGAGCATTTGAACCGTCTAATCTTATGCTCCAAGTCCACTGGTGTGAATTCCAATGGGAATATATCTACGTTCACAAGGATTTCGGGACTTTCAGCAAGCGGAATCGAGTCTAGTATTAGGTCTATTCGGTCCTCAGCATCTCAGTCTACTTTGGGCGCAAATGGTTCTGCTCTAAATAGATCTGGTTCGATGCTTTCAATGCGAAGCCAAGGCGCATTGCCTTCAACTCAGGCATCAAACTCTCACTTTATCAATAATGAATACGAGGATGACACGATGGGTGAGTTTGCCGATGGAATGGCAAGCCTTCAGATGCAAGTCAATGCCCTTCAAGCAGACCTCACCGATAAAAACCGATATATCTCAACCCTCGAACGGCGACTGCTACAAGCTCGCCGCTCAAGCCACTCTCGCATGTCAATGGGATTTTCTCATCTCAAAGGCGCTGCGGCATCTATAGATGACCCGGAGGTGATGGCCATACTTCGCGAGAAGGACATGGAAATATCAGAATTGCGTATCCAGCTAGATGACAAAGACAGGATGGTTGCAGCGTTGCGTTCAGCCGCCCGCCAACGTGATTTTGCTCAATTGACGCCAGACTCAATACCCCAGGAAATAAAGCAAAAATCTGGCCACCAGAGTGTTGAAAGCAACAGCAGCTCAACAAAGAGTGGCGGTGCTGCTACGGAGGCGATTAGCCCGGTTGCCCTCCTGTCTCCAGCGAAGATGGGTATGACGGAGAGGGAAAAGGGAAAAGCGAGGGACAAGGAAACTGAAGAAAGGGAGAGGAGGGAGAAGGAGAAGGAGAAGAAACGACGAAGCGTTGATGAGATGTCGCGAATGCTTGATGAGATGATCCAGGATAGGGTGGAAAGCGGCCACTTGGTCAAAGGCACTAGAGGTAGCGTGCGTGTTGCCAATGGCGGCGGCAGGCGGCAGTCATCCTCTGGATCGAATACTGTACCTGGGATGGGCGCGATGGTCACCGCACTTCGCGGTTCGGTCCCAGATATCCAATCCGCGTGATTATTTTTTTCCCTTCTCTCCTCTTCCTTCCCCCTTTTGGAATTGACAATCTCGACGTCAGTGATGAGATTGCCATATTATTCGTCCTTTTTTTTTTTTGGCTTCTTCCACCTTGTCTCTTTCCCTCGGGCACCCTTCTCCTGACCGCGTTCTATGGTTTACTCTTTTCTTTCTGTTGGTAGTCCCACCGCCAATTTTGCTCCACACATTTTAACTACCTCCCCCGCCTTTACGCTTCCTTGTATAGTAACTTCTATTTCTTTCCTGATACCCATTATCTTGACACTGTATTTGTTTTGGTACGCTTCTTCCAATTCCCATTTTCGCTTCCCTCTTCCTTCGCGTCAACAATGTCCTCTATAAGGACTGGTTTGGCGGTATATTTTGCTTTTGGTTTGTTCTATCAGCATGTTTTTTCTGACAGGCCAGATTTCACTACGACTTCGCGTATTTCATCATTCTCGTGCCTGCCATGGTTTTTCTTTACTCCCTTTCTTTTCTTACTCCTTTGCTTCTTTTCTTGCTCCTTTTCTCTACTTTACCTGAACCCGATGTATCTCTGTCTATATAGCTGACTACCTTCCTTACCTATCTTAAATAATGCTGAAACGGGAAATGAAAGATAAGATTGCGGCGAGATGTTTGCTTTTACCATCTGACTTTATTTTGGCTATTTTTCCTATATTTGCTCTATGGTCGTTACTTATTTATTGTTATTTTACTTCTTCCTACGTTAATTGTCAGCTGGCTTGTACCCTACAGTCGTGGGATAGAGAGAGGGATAGTAGCTTGTCGACTTCTCTATGCTATCGATATTTTACCTTTCTTCCTGTCTTTGTTGACAATGTACTATATTAGGTCATGGTGCTAGACATTGTTCATACAGTTTAGATGATAGATCCAGCCATGGTTGAATGAAGAATTTTCCCTGCTCTTCTCCGGTATAGTTATGGATTAAAACATACATGTAAAGTACGGAGTGCACATTGTTACTCACTCAATGCCTGTCTTTTTCTGGCATTCCATACAAGTCACCTGACGGGCACCTTATTTGCCTAATCCGGTAATCTGAGGTCAGCTTTTCTGATATCCGCATCATCCCAGCATAAAATAACTCCAATCACCAACCCAACCACAGTTCTTTCTACCCGGTAGTGCTGCGTCTCTCATCGTATTATTATCCATGGGCGCCTGGTTCTGCGCTGGGACGGCCTCCGGCATGCTGTCTTATTTTGTCCACTCTCACTGAATAATACCGCCGTTGTTCAGGTTATAACCTGACACAGAGAATAAAAGACGGATTAAGACGCCCTTCCAACTACTTCCAGGATCCCCGATTGGATAGTTGGAACACGGAGGATACGATGTTCAACTCTGTTCAGACAACGCTCTGCACCACCACTCACCTCACAGTACTAGTACTTGTCTCCAGGTCCACCGGAGCCTAGCTCATCCAAACGGCGCGAAAGATGAAACCCCGGCCCCCACTACGTTAGTTACAGACGGAATTTCTTCGAGATCTATTCTAGCTGGCCTATCAGAATCCTTGATACTCCGTGTTGAACTTTTCAAAACCGCCAACGCCAGACATCAGGCTCGCTGCTACGGAGTATTATTATTGTGGGAGCTGGTGCGTGTCTTCAATTTAGGAACCTCAACCTTGGATTCTTTTTGTGGCACATAGCAATAATTTGCCTTATTATTCTGGGATTTCTTCGCCCTCTTCTTCCTTTTGTTCTTCTAGTTAGCCTTCCAGAAACTACCCATCCCAGGTCTGACATGCCATGCTTCCGAGACGAGACAACCTTTAATGACGTCGCATAAGTTAAGAACGACCAGGTCCCTCTCTTCCCGGACCGGCATTTTCCAAGTGTGAAGTGAAAGCTCTCTGAAATCCTGGGGCGACCGCCGCTCTTTTTTAGTATTCAAGGGTTTTTTTTTTTGGTCTCAACCTATCCATCCATCATTATCATGCACTGCCAGACAGCCTGCTGGAATTAAGACGGAAGATCAAGACATCTCTTTATTGTCGATTCGAATATAGAAATCTTGTCCTATAAACGTGCCGAGTTTCTCCAGATTTCAAAAGTGGAACTGGGGTGTGGAAATGCCTGCCGGTCGGTCCACGATGAGTATCTTCGCGAGTCACGAGATATAAACCAGACAGGAATGGAAGACGGAACTTCTGGATACCCCTGGTTGCTCCTGTGGACATAACTAGCCCATGATCTTTGGCCTTCGTCGATTTCTCGTGATCTTAGCTGAAACCATTGCCTATCCTTTCTACGGTGCCTTCTCACGTTTGATAAAAAGTCCTTGGTTTCACATTTTCAAGGTTCGCATGGACGGTCCTCCTAAAGTATTTAAACCACAGGTCCAATTCTCCATACATATATTTACGGATACACACAACGACTTTTGTCACTGGTCTCTCTTCTACCCTCCTTCCTTCGGGGCCTTGCCTATCTGCATTATCTCTATTTGTACATGTACATGTACATGTACAACGAGAATTCCGGCCGTGGCAAAGCATCCTCTCCCTGTTGAATACGGAATGCTATTTAGATACAATTAATTTTATTGCATTTGTCGGGCGTCTCCTTCGCTTGCTGTCGAATGATCTAGCACCATCACCACAGGAGATCTGATTCTTGTCTGTCGCTTGGTAGTCCGACAGCTTCGCTTCCATTCTTCGTGCCCTTCAATTACGCTTTCTCTACGGCTTCCTCTTTATACCGTTCCTTGATTTTACATATGGCTCAGGTTGACCGCCTTGGGATCTGCGTTTGCAACAGTGAGCGGGTTGCGAAGGATTCCATGCCCATCGTTATTTTGCCTAGAAGGTTACCAAGCGGAGTCAACTGATCGATCATCGGCGTCATCATTTGTCTAGCGGGTATCTCAAGAAGCGTTCACGTGGATTTTTGTACAGTCAATTTTGTGTTTATTTCACTTAAATCGTCGTTGAGCGACGATATACCTACCAAAATGTTTGTCCCTAAACACAGCTCCCACAACATGACACTGCGACGGACGCCAACGAGGAGCACCTTCGGTCCAACTCCTTTGTCAAAACAAAGTCTCCGCGTTCCACTGGCTGATTCTCCTCTCCCGTCGCCGAGTTTACCCTCGATACTTCCCCGCCACGGCAAGAAACCCTCGCGAACCTGGCCCATGAAAGCCTGGCGAGTCTTCGCTTGGATAATTGGAGTAGTTCTGATTATTTGGTTTGGTGTTTCATGGCAGCGATCGGGGCGTCCTCCCCCTCCTGTCAATTACGTTTCTACCGAGGGTGACCCCTTCGAAATAGTCGGCAGTGATGACCTTCCCAAGGGCCCCAGCCCAGTGATGGTGACTGATCAACAAGGAAGATCGCGATGGACAATTTCAATTCCACACAATCTCGAGTTCCCCTTACCTCCATCTGACTACTCTCGCATCTGTTCACAGGCAATGGAGTTGTCGCGTAACATGGAAAACATTAAAAATAATAAACCCGCCTCAGCCCTTCATACTGCACATCATGCATACTACTGGAAGGATAAAAATTTCATAGACGTTCCTGATGCGGAAGACAAAGGACTACTTCCAAGTTCGCGTGGCCGCGAAATCTCTCGAGGAGGACTTGGTGTAGTCGGTGGTGAGATATATATCGATCGCCAGGAGCTGCCCATTTGCGAGAAGTCTTTGACTTATGTCATGCAGACAGACGATGCGGGGATGGGTGCGACATTAATGGGTTTATGGATGAGCTACGGCTTGGCTCAATACGAAGGAAGGGAAGTTTTTGTTGATGACACGAATTGGGCATATGGCCGATACACAACATACTTTAGGCGCCCACCAATGCCTTCCTGCCGTCCCCCTCCGCAGTCGCAGCGATTGCCTTGTCCCCATCAAGCTAGACATCTCCTCATATCTTCGGCTACTACAAAATGGGCGTTCGGACATGGTTTCAATGAAAAATTCGAAGACGGGCACAGGAGGGGAGTGCATCGCCAGAAACAGATATTTGGTTTCCTCCGCAGCGGCTATGAAGCCTTGTTCCAACTGACGGGCAGTGATGCTAGGTACTTTGAACAACGCGTAAATGAACTGAATACCTCGATACGAAATAAAGGAGGCATTGAGGTGGGCGTCCACGTCCGCCACGGCGACTCTCACCCCATGGAATTCCAATACCAAAAGTCCTACCTACCTCTAGCAACATACAGCGATGCGGCGTATAACATCATGATATCTTCCCGCGGGGGCAATATCAAACCTGCTGTGTCTCTTAACCAGGAAAAGTCCAAAATCTTACTTGCCTCCGATGACCCGGATGTCTACTCGGCTGCGGAGCTGTCCGACGCGGAAAAAGCACAGTCGATGATTACACTGGTAAGCAAGGCGGCACTTGACGCCGCTACGGCAGCGAAGGGAGGGACCCCAAACATGATGGACGGCAACATAGGCTGGGAAGGCGGGTTCTTTAGTGACATGTTCTGGTCTTTGGGAGCACCGCCACCTCCGCGGGCGGCGGGGAGCCCGCGCGCCTCAAAGAACGAACCGCATCTGCGGCCGCGAAGCGTGGGACCGACTGACATAGACTTGTTCCGTTTCCATCCTCCTAAAGAAGCTCTGCGTCTGCGCCAGCTGGTTGGGCGAGCGTACCTGCTCGATCTAGCTGTGCTAGGGCAGGCGGACGCGGTGGTTTGTGGGGTTAGTAGCATTGGGTGTCGGCTGCTGGCTGTTATGCTTGGGTGGGATAAGGCTATTGAGCAGGGGAAGTGGAAAAATGTGGATGGGACGTGGCATTGGAAGGGGATTATATGGTAGGAGTTAAGCTGGTTAATGATATCCCTTTACTTCACACTTCACTTCTTTACTTTTCCTGTATTTATTTTTCATATTGGTCACTGCTGGACGCCAATCGGCTCCCCCTTGTCCTCTTGTTTCTTCACAGCGATCATCGTCCATTTCTACATCTCACAGAATTTCATACGTCTCAACCTCTTTTCTCTTCTGTTTTGTCCACTGTATTTGGGAGAAATATTTCGTTATATGAGCGTTCTAGCAATAGCGCACGGCAAACGGGAGGAGGATGTGGGACATAAGATATTGTTTAGTTCTTCAGAGTACCATAGATATGTCGTTATTGTTCTCCGAGTTCAGTGTCCCTTATCAGCGGAGCGAGGTGTCAATCCCGGATATACAGACATCCCACTACTCTGACCATCAATGCAGACCAGCTACTGGAAAGGTTTCAATTCCTAAGCGATAAATGCAGTCGCTATTCAAACGCTTGAAAGTAAAGATAATTTTAATAATCTTAATTAACTACGTAACCGCAAGCAAGCGTCCGACTAAGAAGCCTCAAAGAAACATAAACCAATCCAGCAAAAACTCCCAGCTGCAAACCCAAACTCAGTATTCAAGCAGAACCTAAAACCCCCTCTGGTAGAAAAAAAAATACACTCCTGACAAACGGACCCACACATAGCCTCCAACATATCACCTTACAAGCAATGAATTCCCTACCCTTCTTATGCGACGATTTCCAACTCCGATGTCCTCTCCGTAGCAAATAAACCACGATACTCCTCCCACAATCGTTGCAGCTCGCGCACATACTTATCGTGCAACTCGTCAACATAAGCATCCTCAATCTTGGCCCGATCATGCTGCTGTACAACCTGAATGGGTCGACCAACGACAATATTCACCGGACGGCGATAAGGCATTAAGCCAACGTCATAATTGAAGACGCCGCGGGCATGAAATAGCGGGATAGTGAAACCCATCGTGCGCTTGACGAGGAGTTGAAACCTGCGGATGAGCGGGTGCTGGTCGGAGGGAACCTGTTCGTATAATTCGTTTTCACCAAAGGCGAGGACCGGGACGAGGTCTGCACCTGTGCGGATAGCAAGTTTGACGAAGCCTTTTCGGCGTTTGAGAACTAGGCGGATGGCATGGGGTTGTGCGTCGAGCGACTCGCTAGCGCCTCCGACGACGATAGTGATGGCGCGGCCCATGCCGGCGTTGTCGAGGCCGCCTTTTGATAGGATATTTTCGCACGATTCGCGGGACACACTGGCCAGTCCCATGGCAAGGGCGTAGTCGCGGTAGAAGGGGAGACGGAAGTTGGAGTCTAGGGTGAGGAGGGTGTTGGTAATTCCCGGAAAGAGGTCGGAGAAGCCTAGGGCTTCAGTGCCAAATGCAGCAAAAGCTCCGTGGGAGATGATGCCATGAGGGTGGTAGCCGAAAACATATTTTCGGGTAGCAGGGAGGGGAACGGAGCGGTGCAGACGGGCGGGGAAGTAGGAGGCGAAATATTTCCAGATGCGGAGTGAACGCAGGAATTGGCTACGGCGGACCAGCGTGCCAGATGTTGCAGTGTCGGAGAATAGAGAAATATAGACTAAGTAGGGCAGGAGGAGAGGCCAGAAGAGAGGGATGGCACAGGAGAAGAAGAAGACTGTTAGAAAGACAGGTACGGAGATGGTGTGGTAGAGGACTACGAGGGTCTGGAGACGCCTGTCAAGGCCAACGTTGAGCGGAGCCCAGCGCAAGCTATATACAACATATATGCATATATATTAGAATAGGTCCCAGCAATGGAAGTAGTAGAAGGGATAAACTAAGGGACTTCGTACCCGGTGCGCTCTGAAGTTCCCCGGCGGCTTCTACCTGGATTGTTGTTTGCGCCGTTTCCTTGCGAGCCATTTGCCCTTCTTGACCTTGCGCTCCCACGGTGCGTATGAGTTCCCCTCGGCAGAGGAGAAGATGTAAGCCCATTCCGCTGAGAGAAGCCCTCTGTTTTCAATAGTGACGCACCGGGAGGCTGGCCATCAATTTGGAGCGGGGATCCTTCATTCTCGAACGCAGAGCGTTCGGGAACTTCACATTTACCGGATACAACGGCTTGCACATAAGACATGGGAGGTAATCCAAGTGAAGCTCGATCTTCGGCCCGTGAGGGCTCCGGATTTAAAGGAGTGGAGGGAGACGGGGAGCGGGAACGCATGGTTTGAAGTTTCTGCTTGGAGATAAGCTCCTCTTGGAAACAGCCGGCTACGGTATCTCAACTCCCATCTCAGCAAACGCGCACAGGAGACAGAGACAGAGGGGCAGGGAGCGAGAGAGAGAGAGAGAGAGAGTAAACAAACAGGAATTGGGTATAAGAATGAGCCCGAATATAAATAGAAAAGTCCGGAATGAAGATGAATAAAACAAGACAAATGACGTTGGGGCGGAGTCTTGGCAAAACGGCGAGAAATGACGTCAATGTACTCCGTAGTGTAGCGCAGCGGTGTCAAGCCACAGGACAAAATAAAATACATATGCTGTAGAAAGTATCACACAGTGCAGGGGAGGAGATCTAAGTTGTATTACAAGTAGACAAAAAGGGAGAACATTTGTTGAATTTGATTATTGTTCTCTATCACTCTAATTATCATTAGCTGTACTCCGTAGTGGTATTTTAGACATGTTGAATGGAGATTGGCCAAGTCACACATTAACTGCTTTGATCTCCTCCCACCAAACAACTCAACAATAACCAAGCCAAATCAACCAGTATCCTACCCAAAGATTTCAATCCACATCTTCCTATACTCCCGCATAATAATAACTTCAAACTCAAAAGTCTCTGCCTGCAGTGTCCGTCCCCCCTCAAACATCACCGGTCCCCCAAACTCTGCTTCCAACAACCTCCCCAATTGATCTTCAAACCTCCTCAACATTAGCTCATAGTATGGATGCAACGGCTGCCCTTTCCTCCACCCTTCCTTTGGCGGCGCCGTTGGCTGCGCCATTGTCTGCTGCAGCGCAACATTCGCTACAGGCCTATACGCCGTATTGTTCGCGGTCGATCTGACAGCGATGGTTGTCGCCAACACACGAGCCCGTGAACCTTGTGGCCGTTTGCTCCAGTCCGCGCGGATGTTGTCTAGGACACTGCGAGAGTGTTTGAGCCATTCATCATGGAAGGCATCTCTGCTCATTATCGTCGGGAATCCCGGGAGTTGCTGCTGCCGGAGCTGGGCGTGGAAGTTGTCAAAGAACGCGCTGAGGATTTGCGTATAGTACGGGTGGAGCTGGTCGCCAGGCGCCCAGACAGAGGGAGGCGGGGAGTCTGGGAAGCGTACGGATTCCTGGTATGCACGGACGGCAAGGACATAGAATGAGTCTATGGAAATGATAGTGGCCTTTGGTGCTGTTGGTGATGGCGCGCTGATATTGCTATTGAGGTAAGCCTGGGTGTGAGGGATGTCTGCGAAATGCTATTTGTCTCAAATGCAGAGGTTAGTATTGCAGACAATGGTACTGACAAATCAACAGCGTATATATGCTTGTCTACATACTTACGCGTTGATGTGACGATGTAAACTAACCGATGCTGAATTGGGAGTTATCAAGCCCTGGCTGGCATCTCTCAACCCAAGCTCCCTCCTGTCATTTTCAATTTGGTCCCCAACTGATGGCACGCGAAACCTTTCTGGTATAGGTCCGCCCTCGAAACTGATTAACCAGGGGCTAAGGCCGGCTTTGGAAGGGAACCCGTTACCCATCTTTTTTCGTGGGGTGGACGAGGACGAAGGTAAATAGGTTGGCTTGAGGACCTAAAAGGGAAAAAGATGTATTCGGAAAATGAGATAGGGAAGAGTCCGATTTTGATGTATATTCTTGACATTCATTGCAGTGTTATAGAGGAGGGGTTGTCAAGGCAACTTCTCCTATTCACTTTTTTTTTCGTTTTTGTTTCTGTTTCTGCTTGCCGTCACCGCATGGGAAGAATGCGTATGCCGCAATTCATTATATTTATTTCAGAGATGGAAAACATCGAGCAGAAATACGATATATAACTTCAGGTGCATCACAGTAAAGTATATGTGACTGGGTATAGAGCATAGCGCTATCAAGAAGAACGGAGCGAAAGTATGTGCGATAGTGTAAATAGACGGGGTCGTGATCTAAAATAGCACACACTACTGCTGTAAGGAACAGAGGAGTCGCTTTCTGAAATGCCACAAAAAAAAGAAAGGAGCATGTAAACAACGCTGAGCCAGCAGCAGCATAAGCTGAACCCAGACACGATGCTCACGGATATCTATATTGTTCTGTACATGCTCCCGATCTATCATTTCACCATAAATATCTGCAAGGTCAATTAGCAATGAACAAGATACTCAGCAGAGAGACTAATGTAAGACTTTACCTCATTTAAAGACTTTGCATCCATCAATGCCAGCTTCTTTTGCTGTATATACCGACCCCGGATAAACTGGCGACCCATCGGCCGATGTTCCCTGACCTTCACAATATTCCCATGTTTCGCTGCAGTACTCGATTTCTCCTCCTCCTGCGGGGCAGAGGTTTGGACATCGGGTGATATAGCATCGTCGCCCGCTTCTGTATCACTGGGCTCAATCTCTTTTTGTTTTCGCTTTTTTGTTTTTTCCCGCTTCTTATCGACGAGCGCATCTTCGGAGGTAGTTGCTGTATCAATACACACGGAGACATCACGGGACTTTCTTTTCTTCTCTTTCTTCTCTCTCTTTTCCTTCTTTTCCTTCTTCTCCTTGTTCTTCTTCTTGGAGGATTCCTCGGCTAGATCTGAACCAGTATCATCACTCTTAACCTTTCGCTTATCCTTCTTGCGTTCTTTTTTCGCTGCTGTTTTTTCCGATTTCCCTTCGTCCTGCGAGCTTTGAGATGTTTGTCCTTTCTCTTCACCAACGCTCTTCACTTCCGCAAGCGCCTGAATCTTCTCATGCACCAGTAATCCCCCGCTCACAAACCTCATCGTCGTCCACCTTTGCTCGATAAAACTAGCCAGTCGCCGATCATCTCGCTTTTTCTGTTCCTTTTCCAGCTCCGCATCACTCTTTCCATTAAGCCGTCCCAGTAATCCCTGAAAGGCGTCCAGGCCCGTCGGTTCGTCCTCTGCACGAAGTCTAGCACCGAGCCCCAAATTGTCATCCTTTATATTAACACGAATATGGCCAGCGCTGCCGGCGGTGAAATGGTCCGCATGGGCGGCGTTGGAAGCACCCAGGAAACTTCCAGGAGTCCAACCCTGGGCACACATGATCTTGTGGCCATAGCCGGAGGTCGAGCGGGACCAGGCTGTATTGTTAGGGTCGTGGAAGATTTTGGTCCTCCTTGTGTATGAGAATTAAAAAAAGTTAGTGTGGGACGTCGGAGTTGGAAAACATGATTTGGGCTACTGTTACTGACTTTCGAGGGCCGGCTAACCCCATTGCAGCTGAGAGGAGTGTCGGAGGGAGTGTCAGAAGGTAGAGAGCGTATGGCTGGAGATATTTTGTCTTCTCTTGGTCGCTGTCGGGATATTCTTCTTCGAGCTAACTCGGCCAGTAACAAAAAAAAAAGAAAAAGAAAAAAGGAGTTTGGGGTGAGGTTGGCTAAATAAATATTTAACTAATCTCCACGTGACCAAAGCAATAATTCCAGATCTGTGTCATTGGACAAAACACCGTTCCAGTTCGCATTATTGGCGTGTCGGTCTTGCGCACCTTGTCTTCAGCAGTATAACAAAGCAGTACTAGGTTTTGAGCTGTGATCCGGGGGACGAATGTCTGGCAAGAAACCCACCCCTCGCCGGCGCGGACGCCCATCAAGAGCAAGCACCGCAGGAAGTGCCTCCGACCATGAGCTGGCTGGCATGTCGTCGAACCCCGCAGATATATTCAAGGACATGAGCAGTGCTGTGAGATGCACATCTGCGTGCCTTGCTTGTTCCCTGTTACTACTGCTCTGAAACACCCATGCTCATATAAGCCCACCTAACCTATCAATGCTTACAGGTTGAAAAGCGCAACAAGGACAAATGGCAGAGACTCCGCGCGCAGCACAAATCTCAGGTTAAGAAGACAGAGGAAGTGATTCAATCAATGGCTCATTCGAATAAATTGGCCCTGTGGGTTCTCAAGATACTACTTCTCGTTTTCGCTTGCGTCGCGTCAATGAAATCCGTGACGGCCCCCTTTACCTTGACACTTTCAGCTAACAATACTGTCTCGTCCCACGTAGCATAAGGCACCGGAGAGCTCAGATTAAACGCCTGTTAGACCTTGTCAAGAAGAGGACAGAAATCGAGATGGAGATTGTGGCCAACATGCAGAGGCTGGGTGATCTGTACGAAGCTGCTAGCAGCGAACTGAATTCTGTGCTGACGAGCCGGCTGTCCTACCTCCAGTGAGTGAAACACTGGCGACATATGGATGGATGAGATATGTATCCTTAAGATTTAGCGATATAGCCCTCCGTGGGTGGGATCTACGAGGGTATGATACTTACGTTGTTACTGTTTCGATCCTTCAAAGACCAGGCGTTCTTTCGGGTGGAAGAGAGCTTTATACGGGTTATTATGGTATCTCTATGGAATGGCATCTTTTGGGCTCATTTGCCTCTATCTTAATGCTGTTCTCCACAGCTGTATGTTTAATGAATGCGGAGGGACTGATGAGTGATGTGTGTCTAAGACCCTAAGGAAGGAATAGATATGGTCCTCGCCCAGCATGCGCGTATCTTTATCGATGTATATTATAGACATACGCTTTGTGTGGATTATTTATGCACATATCTAATGCATTATCATGATATATTTATACATTTATCCTGATTTTCTACATTTTTTCTGCTCTATTGGACATATTCTATTTTTAGGTTGCGATCTCTTCCAATCTGGAGAAATAGTAACAAAACAGCATTTAAACTAAAATATCGATCTCAAAATAAATATATAAATCATATATCAATGAATCAAACCAAAATCAAAGTCAAAGATCTCAGCACTCTATAACGCTGATACTATCATAAAGTCATTTGCTACCGCTGTTGCCGTCCGGCATAGGGACTACCTTATGTATCTTTGGCAGCTCAATCCATCCCGCCACTTGACAGCGACAACGACGACGACAACACCAACTATCAACTACAGTCAACTTCGGCCGCGCGCACGCCCACCTATATACATATATACAGCTATAGGACCTGCGCTCTAAACTGCACGCCCGGCTGAGAAAATGACTGTAGCTCAGTCCTTTTTCTACAAATAGCTGGCAGGTCAGCCATGCGCGCCGGTCTTCCGGGTTTGGCAACCAGCTATTTAGCTGATGTTAAATAATCAACTAAATAAATACACCTCCTTACACACAGCATAGCCAGACAAGACAAGACACAGCCAGGAGCCATGTCTCTGCGAGTTCTCTGTCGAGACCGCCCTGATCGCTCGCTGGCATTGATCTCAGACGGCCATGCGCTGATCCTCCACCACGTCCCCGTCACTGAGTCGGCTTCAACCAATTCATACTCCAACGTTAGCCCGCCGAAATGCCATATTGAATTTGCCGGTCTTGATGCGTTGGATCTGTTGGGGTACAGAAACCTAGGTCGCGCACACGGGACGCTTGGATTAATCGCACTGAACAGCGATATCTTTCTATGTACAATATCCCATGCGTCGCAAGCAGCCACAGTGCGCCCTGGAGAGACAGTCCAGAGGATTATTAACGTGGAATTTTGTATAGTCTATTCCCCATCCCGTTTCTGCCTTCTTTCTACTTCTCCCATCTCCTGATGATCTTACAATCTTTTAACAGACTGCTTGAACCGTTCGGATTACGACAACGATCTGGACTATGAATCCAGATCAACTTTTGCATATCCCGCTGGTGACGACGACTACGGAAATGGCTATGAAGGCCGCGAGACTATCACTGAAAATCCGTTCCTCCCTCTCAAGAAGCTCCTTGGTGATGGCAGTTTCTACTACAGTGTTGACTTCAATCTCACTGACCGTCTTCAAGATAGGTAACGTTGTTCGGGCTCATACTGGAAAGCAAAAAGTGAAATAGTTGGAACTAACTGATTAATAGAGTTGAAGAAACTGCCTCGTTTGATGTGGATAGCCTCGATAGGAACTTCTTATGGAACTCCTATATGATCGAGCCCTTTTTGCTATTTCGAAGCCATTTGTTGGAATCTGAGCGGGAAACTCTGGACTCATGCAGGATATTCACCTTAGCCATCCGCGGCTTTGTTCACTCATTAACCATCCCTGCGTCTACGCCGTTGTTGCGCTCTTCTCATTCAAATCTGCCATCAAGTTTGACTTTGATATCCCGCCTCTCTTCTCGAAGAGCGGGAACCAGGTTTAATTCTCGCGGTATCGACGACGAGGGGAATGTTTCTAATTTCGTAGAAACGGAGACCGTCGTATGGATTCCGCCAGGCATATGTTTCTCGTATACCCAAGTTCGTGGATCTCTTCCCATCTTCTGGGAACAAAGCGTTGCCATAGGAGGACAGAAAATTCAAGTTACAAGGTCAACAGGCGCCTCCCAACCCGCGTTCGACAGACATTTCGACAGTCTGTCCCTAACTTACGGTGCTGTACATGTAGTAAATCTACTCACGGAATTAAAACCAGGAGAGGCAGATTTATCGGAACGATACCGATATCACATTTCTCAGAGCCCATTGAAGCAGGGTCGTGATCCTAATACCTCCTCCGCACATCATCTTCTGCGGGCGACGGATTTCGATTTCCATGCGGAGACCAGGGGACCTGCAGGCTACCAAAGCGCATCCATAATTCGACATCTGATCCAAGATTCGGCAGACGCATTTGCGTTTTTTTTATGCACAGGTGCCCCCAAGAACGAAAAAACTTTGATCTCGACAGATGATGGAAACGTTGGCTTGACGGTTATTCTTCAGCAGCAGGGCGTTTTTCGAACCAATTGCTTGGATTGTCTTGATAGGACAAATCTCGTTCAGACCATTATCAGTCACATGGCTCTTGAATCGTTTCTTGACCAGCAAGGTGGGAGAGCCTCTGATGAATTTTGGAGGCGGCATTCAACTTTGTGGGCAGACAATGGCGACAACCTGTCCAAAATATACGCTGGTTCTGGTGCTTTAAAATCCTCATACACCCGTCATGGCAAGATGTCACTCGCGGGTGCATTTGCAGATATACGAAAAAGCGCAGCTCGCTTATACATAAACACTTTCACTGATAGTGCGAGACAAAACACTATTGACCTCCTTTTGGGCACTCTAACTGGACAGAGCCCCGTGCATCTATATGATCCCATCAGCGATTCCGTGAACAGAGCTCTCAGGCAACGAGTACAAGAGTATACTTCCTCGAAACTAATACGGGTATGGGCTGGAACGTTCAATGTCAACGGGCGAAGTAATGGAGCTGAAGGAACAGACCTCTCTCTTTGGTTATTGCCGCAACTTAACAGTTTACAGGAGGATCCCTCGATACTTGCCGTAGGGTTCCAGGAAATCGTTGAGCTAAGTCCGCAGCAGATTATGTCCACTGATCCCGGCAATCGCCTGATATGGGAGAACGCTGTCAAGGATACCTTAAATTATTACGCTCATAGCAAAGACGTGAGCGAGTATGTCTTGCTTCGAAGCGGCCAGCTTGTAGGCACCGCTTTATTGGTATTTGTTAAATCGGAACTGCTTACCGAGATAAAAGTTGTTGAAGGGAGCGTGAAGAAGGTATAACTTTACTCCTATATTTCATGTAATTCCCATTTTAGTTTTGCTAACAATTCAAATAAGACTGGTATGTCTGGAATGGCTGGTAACAAAGGCGGATGCGCCATTCGCCTACAGTATTCGAACACACGAATATGTTTTGTTACAGCCCATCTTGCGGCCGGCTTTTCAAATTACGACGAGCGGAATAGGGACTATCAGACAATTAACCAAGGACTTCGTTTCCAAAGAAATCGGTCTATTGAAGACCATGACATCATAATATGGCTTGGGGACTTCAATTACCGAATTGGTTTGCCTGGTGATACTGTGAGAGGGCTTATAAAAGCGGGAGACCTCGAATCGCTATATGAACATGACCAGGTATATTTCTATCAAAAAACCTACATAATTGATCTTCTTCTTACCGTTACAGCTCAATCTACAAATGGTCGCCGGCCTCACATTTCCCTTCTACTCGGAGGCACGAATCACTTTCCCTCCGACATACAAGTATGACAATGGCACTGATCGATACGACACATCGTACGTTATCTTATTGTGAGGTCTCTTCCGAACAGAACATATACTAACTGGCCGCAGAGAAAAAGCTCGCACTCCGGCCTGGTGTGACAGGATTCTATGGAAAGGCAAAAATATTCGCCCACTGGAGTATGACGCTGCGCCCTTGAAATTTTCAGACCATCGCCCTGTATATGCAACATTTGATTGCGAAATAAGTATAGTGAATGAAAAGCTGAAGGAGCAGATACGCATGGAACTCTATGACGCTGAACGGGATCGGGTTGCAAATGGTGGAGCGATAGACTCAGAGCATGAGGAAACAGACGAGGAGGATGACCAGGATTTGATAGGGTTTGATGCCATCGACCCGCGTCTCCCGCCAGCTAGTTCTGATCGCCACAGATGGTGGCTTGACCAGGGTAAACTTCCCTTGTGCCTAAAGTTTGCTTTCATTTACTTGTTCTAACCCACACTAGGTCTCCCTGCCAGGTCAACCTTAAAGCCACCGCCAGGTTTCGTGGCCAACCAACACCGGCCCCCAAATCCATTTTCCCCGACCACAGAATCAGATTGGATTCATATTTCTTATCCGGACGCCTCTCCTGCTAGAAGCCAAGTAGATGGGACTCCAGAACTACCAAAACCAAGTGCTCCACATCCACCAAGTTCGACGCCAGGTGCTCCTCTGATCGATTTTGAAAGCGAGGACGAACCAATACCATCTCCAACCGCCTCAGTATTAAGCAGGAGCTTGTCAGGCTTGGTGATTGCTAGCAATGGAGAAATAGGCGTACCCAAGAAACGAGCACCCCCAGTCCCCACAAAACCCTTATCTATGAGTATGAGCCTGTCGCGTAGTCCGACTATAGCTGCACATGCAAATACAAGCCGCAGCCACAACAAGCAAACACCGTCGACACCAATTTCCCCAGAAGCCCGGTCGACAGCAATACGTTCGACCCAGACAGGACCCAGATCTCCTCTGCCGCAGCGCGAAACGTCGGAAGACGGCAACGCGAAATTGTCCGCCTCAGGAAGCGCTCGTCGTGCAAACCCGCCACCTGTACAGCCACGAAGGTCGAAGCCTGAGAAGGTTTACATCGACAACTCCGTTAATTCCTAAAACAGTGAGCGGATTGTTGCCTCGGGCCCTATCTAGACGATCGGCCACGACTACTGATCGATCCAGCCAGTGGCCGCTGGATCATTCGGATGTGGAAGTTGAAGATGGCATAGCCCCACGAAAGCCATTGCTTTTGTAGAGGTGGATTGAATATGGGTGTGTGATAGAAAGGATTTAGTTTTAGCATTTGAAGCATTATGTCGTTTTCCCCTCAACCTCGTAATCTCATTAGTTCATTCTCAACCCGGGCTGCTAGCTACGTTGGGCTCTCTAGAACTCCAGTGGATGGAAGGAGAAGAGGTGTATAAATGGGCATGCAAAGCTGGTGAAACTCTGCGGGGGAAGCTGAGCTAAATACAATGAACGCATAGGGACACTTTAAGCCTTTACTATTCCAAAGGCCTCTCGCCCAATGGAGTAACGCAGCTAGATGCTTAGTTACGTACTGATTGCGAGGGAGTAGGACTAGCGCGGCAAGGGGGGCAGGAAACGAGAATGAGCATTTACAACGTAGAAAGGGGTATATACTTCAAACAGTCAATCAGAGGGACATTGATCACAAATTTTTAGGTTACGGAATCTCCTAAAGAACTAGAGTGGTTCAGAAGGTGCTCATAGACAAATGTTCGCTTGGTGAAGAAAGGGGTGGAACAAATCTAGGACATCACCATGACATGACCACTCACTTTCGTTTTATTTTTTTCCGCGTTCTCCTTCGCTTGTGTACGAAGAAGCAATAACCATCTTCTAATGCTGTTGTTCTCTCACACAGCTTTATTCTCTTTTTTCCCCTTTCATCATCTAGCTCTCCCTACAAATCATGTGCAAAGAGCTTCTACACACTACAGTAACCTTCAAAGAATCTTTACAGGAAGGTGGAAGAGAGAGGGGAAAAAAGAAAAAAGCGAATCCTTCAAGCCTCCTCCGAATTGACGATGGATAGTGGTACACTCTGCATTCATTCAATGGAAGGAGTAAGATGAGGGTGAGAGTAAAGGGAAGAAACAAAAGAGGGGGGGGCATATTAGGTCGCATGGTAAAGAAGTACAACAACGCTCTACAAGAACCCGGGGATGGATATCAATGAAAATAGATAAAATATATCAAAAACTGACAAATATGGTATCAAAGGCATAAAAATCTCATCAAAAAAGATAGCCAATGATTTTTCATAAACCACGTCCAAAAATAATAATTAAAAAATCGATGCTAAAAAAACAAAACATGTTATATCTTTTTTTTTGTTTTTTTTTTTTTTTTTTTTTTTTTTTTTTGATCTTTGATTTTGAGAGCATGAGAAACCAATCCCAAGGTTCGCTCGGGAGGAAAAGCCATGCCTCACTGAAGAATCCCTCATGCTAGAAAGTGACTGGGATGATTTCGAACTGGCAACAACACTACATGGTAAACTCTGGAAATGTGACGAGAGGGAGAAGTGGTGAGGCGAGATGGATGTCCAGGCAGGGTGTCGTGATGGGGAAATAAGCAAAAGCAACCAAGATGAGTTGAGAAATATCAAGACGACGTTGTGGGAAATTTAATAGCCATTTGGTTGTTGATTTTGCCAGGCACACACACACAGAGTCGACGGAAGCCACTTAGAGAATTTTTGGTCCATAAAGTTGTTATTTTTGTTTAACGACCTCACAGGACGCCGGGTAGAGGCGGCTGTAGTACCTCACAGGCGAATAGGCGAATTTATCTCTTTGGCAGCTCAAGTTTCTTTCAACAATTGACTGGATGGCCAGGACGAATGGGTGGCCATTTCGTTTTAAGAATTGTTGTCCATCCGCGACAAGGGTGTCATTTTGAACCAAATTCCACATCATTTATATGGTCGGTGCTATTGTTCTCGTGCTTATGCTTTTGCTTGTTTTGTCAAATGTAGATACTCGGTCAGTCATCCGTGGGAGGTGCGAAAGACAGGGTGCCCTAGAATTGTTAGAATCGTGGGGGGGGGGGGGGGGGTTTCCGAGTGTTATTTCTTTGTTGCTGCTTCGTTTCTAATCAACCAATCTCTCATTTACATGACACAGCATTGTTCATCATGCTGCTGCAGCTGGGGCTGCGGGATGACTTCAAGCTTTTTTTCCGCTTTTAAAGGCTTGTTCGGCAGCCTGCTTCTATTGCCTCCCATCATCCACATGGTAAAGGCTCCCGGGTTGGGGTCCCGGGGACGTGGTTTCTTAGGGCCGGGAGGCGGCGGTGGCAGTTGTCCATCCGCTGGAAGTTGAGGAGCGTCAACAAGTGGACCTGGAAATGGTGGCAGACCCGAAGCCATGAAGACCTCGACATCTGGTGGAGGCTGTGGTATAGGTGGTGGTGGTGGTGGAGGAGGAGGAGCAGGAGCATGAGGAGGGGGCGCACCTAGAGCCTTTAGATCCATAATGGTAACCAGATTGGGGTCATCCTCTAGTACCTCAGGTGGATCCGGGTTCTTCGGCTTCTTCGACTTCTTAGGCTCCGGAACAGGCCACATGTGCATAGTGATGGCCCAATCCGGTTCTATTACAGTCTCCCAAACTTGTGGGAGGATGATGTCGTTGTTGGGGCCAACTAGATCATATTTGCCCTCCGCGACATGCTGCTCAAGTATGTCAACGTGGAGGAATGCTTGCCGGATCAACTCCTCCATACCCTAGAATTTTACAAAGAACATATTAGGTGCTATCTTTAAAGCATGGGCTGATCTAAGCAAGGCGTCTAGTGTGTCATAAGATCAAAAGGGAAATAAAACTTACTGGCCATGTATTACACAAATGGAAAGGAAAACTAAATTTCCTTCCAATAGCATCTTTGAACTTGACCGGCTTTTTCTTCTCAGTACTCGGCGCTCGGGCTGCGGCTGTCGCAGCCGCAACAGCCTCAGCAGTCTTTACTGCTGCCTCGGCGGTAGCTTTCTCCGTTGCTTCTGCAGCCGCTGCAGCAGCGGCTTCTTCTGCGGCTATTTTCGCTTTGGCAGCCTCTTCTGCGGCTTTTATTTCGGCCTCTTTCATGGCTTCCTCTCTAGCGATTTTGCTTGCCTTGGCTGCAGCTTCTTCTGCGATTTTTTTCTCAATGGCCGCGCGCTCTTCTGCAAGAGCCTTGTCACGAGCAGCCTTCTCGATAGCAGCTTCACGAGCGAGTTCTTTGGCTTCTCGTTCCATTCGTTCCTCGAGAATGAGTTTTTCCAGCCGTGCGATCGCTTCATCTTTGGGATCCGGTTGGGGTGGAGCAGGGGGTGGTGGGGGAGTGGGTTCTTTTGGTGGTGGTGACGGTTGGCGTTGAAATTGCTGGAAGAAATGTGGCGGGGGCATGCCATGGGGCAGAGGAGGAAACTGATGGCCGTAAGGGGGAAAGTAAGCAGGGCCTCCGTGTGGGCCTCCGTGTGGAGCTCCATGTAGGCCGCTGGGGGGTATGCCGTAAGGAACCATATCCACAGGGCTAAATTGAGGGGGCGGGAATGGAGGGTGGTGATGACCAGGCACCGGGTGGGCATGTGGAGGTCTGGGGGAAGGGCTTTCACTTTCATCCCGTGGAGGCGGTGGAGGACGAGATTGGCTCCGCGTACGGCGATGGTGGTGAACATGTTGTCGTTGACGGGGGACAGGCTGATGGTGCATTGGGTGTTCATGGCCGTTGAAGAAAGGAGGTGGCATCTGGTGATTTTGTACTTGCGGATGTGGTGAAAACGGAGGTGGCCCGTATGGGTAATGGTGCTGCTGGCCGGGGGGGTAGTGGCCCATATGTGCATTCATACCTCCCATATGGCCCATGTGTCCCAACTGTACTAACTGATTCGACGGCATCCCTGGATGCCCGCCGTGGGTTGGCTGCATAACTCCGTGTGGCATAGTCCCTTGCTGAGGATATGGATTGTATGATGGTGCAGAGGCGGAACTGCGGGCATACCCTCCTGGAGGAGGAGGATGAGGAGCATGCGAAGCCCAATATTGCCTTTCAGGCGGACGTCGAGGCGGCGGATAATCGTACTCGTCAGCAGAGTCAACACTTTCTGTAGGTGAGGCGGGTGCCGGGGGGTGATGGTGCCTCCTCGGCCGATGCGCTACTACTGGCTCACGTTCCTGTGGTATATGTCGGCGAGATGAATGGCGGCGACTGGGCCCTGATCTACTGTTATCCAGATTGCGATGGCGGTTTGAAGTTCTTGCTCTGGAAGCAGAATCGGAAGGTTTTAGTTCATCGGGATAGCTTAAATGGGCCCAATCACCGCCCACATCATAGTGATCATAATGGTCGTGACTGCTGGTTGCTGAGGGCGGGGAGACTTGGACGCCAGTGCCGGAGGAACCGTCTTCGTCGTCGGTCAAGGAGGAATGATCGGAGCCATGGGAGGTAGCGTGATCTATTGTGATGTTTAACCTAGAGAGAGTCGAAGGAAATAAATATAAGCGAGGCCCTTACCCATGAAGTTGTTTTGTTTTCGTTTTCTTTTGGCTGAAACTCTATTTTTCTGCTGGGATTATCAAGGGAAAAAAGCAGGAGAGTAGAAAACAAGAGGGGAGTTGTCGCAACCGCAAAAGATTAAACTACAGTACATAGGCGCTAAGGGCTAAACTGAAGTGCCAGGGAAGATCATAATTGTACGGATAAACAGGGCATGAAAGGACGACAAGAAAAGGCGAACCAAGCACTAGCAACAAAAAAATAACAACACAAAAGGCAACTCACGGCATGTGGATTTGGACGGAAAGCAGGAAATATCTCGTCCGAGCTTTTCCTCACCGAGAAAAGGCCTGGACTAGATAAATCTCTGTGGGACAAGGGCGGCGGGAAAAGGTGGGCTTTTGGCCGTTTTCTGTAACAGCGAGGTCTGGGGGAGAGGGGTTCTGGGCACCAGCGGCGCCTACAGGGGGGGGACTGGACTGCGAGATCAGCGTTTCAGGGAACCCGGAAATACGATATATATCTGTGCCTTTGTGCAAGCCAAAGACTTCCAAGAAAGCCCAGACTGCGGCAAATCGACCAGATCGACGTGTTAGAAGAGTGCGAATCGAGATCTAGGCAGGTTGGGCGAGAAAGGGGAGAGACTGCTGGAATCTATAAAGAATATATCGATCGAAGCGAGAATTTGGGATCAGCGAACCCGCGGCCAGAAAATTAAATGGCGCAATATAATAATTCTGTAACAATGATTTTTCGGTTTCAGGTAGCAACTGCAATAGCATATACGGTCACAAGTAATAATAGCAATAATAATAGTGGCAATAATAGTAAATAATAGTCATAACAAGGAACAGATAGAATACAGGCACATCCTTCAGAACGGAGGGGGTTGTCGCGATCATAAAATGGATAGTAGTTGTACACGCATTGCACAAAAGCAAGGGGCGGGGGAAAAAAGGGAAAATCAGGAACATAAAATAAAAATAAAACAACAGGAGTTAGAGTTATTTTATATTTATATTTGTGCTAGAAAAATAAGGAATTGGGCTGCAGATGACGACCGATGCAGCTGGTGGGGTTGGAAATAGAAAGAAAAGCGACCACACAGCGGCTGGTGTCTAGTTGGTGCCCAATCTGCTTGAAGCATGTAGAGACGCAAAATCACAGCCTTGACGGGGGGTGGGGAACGGAAAACCAGATCTCAGCGTATTATTATTACAGAGAGATCGAACCCAACAGAAGACCAGGAATGATATGTGAAGAAGAAGCGCGGAGTAGAGTATGGTATGGCATTTGCCCCTTAATGGACTTACCTGATGGCGTCACCAATATTGCTCGCAGCAGTGTTCGCTAGTCGCGGATCCCGAAGGTTTGGCTTAGGAGTAGCTAGCGGGGAAGAATTATTATTGTTTTATCCCAGAATTCGTTGAAGAAGAGCTGGTGGAGCCAGCAGGGATAAGTGGTAGTTCAAATGATCTCCCATTAGAGTCAATGGAATATATATATAAACCATCGAGAAGGTAGAGTAGTTGTATAAATCATCGGTAACTAGGGGGTTATGAGCAAAAGTAAAAAAAAAAAAACAAAAAAAAAAAAAAAAAAAAAAAAAAAAAAAAAAAAAAAACAACCGAGAAAAAGGGGAAAAAGTGACTGCAAGCGGGGAAATGGGAAAAATTATACTCAGAAAATAACAAGAGGATATCCCGATCTCCCATTTTAGTACTTCGTAGTATTTACTAGCACCGCAGGGAGAATAATAATAGTTAGCCAACCAACTGCGCAGACACTGCAGATAAACGCGGGCTGGTAATTGGCCAGCGAGGCGTCGTCGCAGAGCCTAGCCAGGGCTAATCGCTGAAATCCAGCTCATGAAAATCTCGAGGTGTTGCACTGATGAGGCTTGTGGAAATGGCTTAGATTTTATTCCCTGGCGCGTTCTGTGAGGCTGTCTGTGTCTGCATCTGCATCCAGTGCCTGATGAGATATGTAGGGTATCGAATAGCCCGATAACCAACCGTTCCGTGGTTTTAAATAAAATGGGGAGAAAAGGAGAAAAGGAGAAACCCCATTGAGATCTAGACTCAGCATCAGTAACGTAAAGAGAACAACGTCCTTGTGCTTGAGAGCAGTTTCAGCCAGGAGGGATTCTCAACTCAACTGCGTAACGTAAGTTAACGTGGTGGTTCCTTTTTTATATGTCTGGCTTCCCGCAAAATCCATCCGCAATCCAGCGCCTTTGTTGGGCGATATTGACTTACTAACTACGCGTTAGTTACTGCAGAAAATCAGTAGCCTGCTGCGGGCTAACTTACATGTCGTCATCCTCTTTCTGCTGATGTGAGTGGTGGCCTTCGCCGGGAAGAACGAGAAGTCCAGCAGCAGCTTTGAGGACGACGTTGTGTTGTTGGCCTGAGGAATGTACTAATAATAGTGTATGTACTGTAACTACGTTACATGTAATAATAATGTACTGTACATGTACCTCCCGCTTCACTTTGAGGTTCCGTTCTCACTGGTAGCTGCGTGGCCGGTGACTTGCGGGGTACATCCGATATACCGCGCACTTTGCAATTTTAACTTATTTTGACACTGTTTGTGGGAGGTAAAATGCAACATTGCCCTTTCAAAGCCATATCTATCCTTTATGCACAAAGAGCAGGTCGTTTTTTTAGAAATCCCCCTTACTGTCTCCTCCCTCCACGTAGTTGTCTCGAGCATAAATGGGAGAAGGCAACTAATTGACCGGACCACGGTGGGACCTGAGATGAGGCAAACAGTGCGTTGTATTGTCATCGCATTGTTAACCAACCCTAATGCTTCTGCTGTGGCTTGCTAGTTGACAGATATTGGTTCCTTTTTCTTTTTCTTCCTTCGTGAGACGATGTTTGTGCCACGCTGATGATTATTAGCACGGAAATCCCACTCGTTTAAAAGGGAGATTTTAATGTGTAATAATATATTCATCCACTGCTGCAGATCTTCTGCATCTAAATAAGAGGAAGCTCTGAGTTTGGGAATTTAGTTAAAAAGGAATATAAAATAATAGAAAGATCGTCAAAGAACAGACCCAGATCCCCCGTCTGTTGGAAGTCCGGTCATACAACGGGCGCTCTCCCTCCACCCAACGAGGCTCGGGCCTTTTCAATATTTAAATCGCCCCTCTTCCTGTCTTCCTTAGTCCTTCCAGACCTCAGGCGCTCCACTTCACGCGTAGTAGTTAAACCGACTTGTCATCGCTCAAACCTTTTCGTCAGAAACATCAAAGTTATCCTAAATAAGCCTCCTACATTAAATCGTACTTACCGCAGGATATCGTACACCCACTCCGCTCTCTGCCGTGCCTAGCCCATCCCAGATCGCAAGGAGTCAATCACGTACAGACACACATGCGGTACGCTGACAGCTCGCTAGATAGTACAGTGAGAACGAATGGGAAATGAAGAAATGATGATGGACAATGTGGTTTTATTTCCTTTCTTCCCTTATCATCATTGCCCAAAAGGCGTCTGGCTGCCCAGAGTTAGGGTCAGAGCCGGCCAATAGCATGATTAATCAAAACATAGACTCAGGCAGGAATCTCTGGCCGGCCGGATCCCAAGAGATAAGCGGACAGGGAGTCAGCCCAACGGCCAAAAGGCTGAGGGGACGCAGTCTAATGGTGAGAGTTGTCGAATGAATGGGATAGACTTTGGCCGCTATCGTAAATTGTCATAGCAGGGTGATGCGGTGGGTGTCCTTTGTCATTTGTTCTCGCTAGACCCGGGGGAGGAGGACGAAGAGAAGCCATGTCTCTGTACGTATGAATGCATACAAGCACAGATGCAACGGGAAGATTGATAAGTAAATGCTAAACGATGTCTTAAGTCTCTGAGAATGAAAAGTGAATGAGTGAGAATCTGATAGCGAATCCTGTCGTCCGGTCCAGCGGCGTCCGGCGGAGTCCAGTGCGGTACCGAGAGGGTTATCCATGGCAGAAAATCACCCCAGGGTCAGATATATCATGAAATATACCAAAGCCCAAAATGGGTCAACAAGTCTGCTGTTTTCAAGGCCGGTTGTCGAGCCAATTTTCCGGCAAAGACCGAAATCGAAGGTTGAAATCGAATCCGAGTTCGACAAACAGAAACGAGACTAATTGATAAGACAAGGTCCGCCCAATTGCCTAGTTCCCGGGAGACATCATATTCAGCAGAAATTGACACAAAACGCGCGGAGTATCGTTCTCCGAAATTTTTGAGTTTGGAATGTAGATTTAGTTACCCCTTCATTGAACGATCTGCTCCAGAGCCCGCACCCCAATAACAATCGCTAGCTAGCGCAGACCAACCTAGTAATCTACCCCAATTACGAACAAATTAAACAATTCATCCATCCCGAGTCAAGCAGTGGATTGGGTGGCTTGCATCACCCATCACCTTCTCCGTCAAATCATCCATTAGCAGTCGACGCGGTATGTGAGAAGCGGTGAGGAAAGCGAGAAGGAAGCATGGCAGTCAATGAATATACTCTCTTTTTAAAAAAGAATGTAACCAATCGACCAAACCAATCCTTTTATCATGCACTTACATTCATGCGCATCATAAGTCCCCTGAGACCCTCCTGAATTTAGCATATTTGGAGCTACAGTCGAAAGCCCCGCTTGGTTCCCTTGTTACCGTCCTTGTGCTTCCTTGGTCCTCTGTTCCACATGGGAGGAGGCGGGAGGAAAATTGGCAGCTAGAGGAAGCAAAAGTAGAATGTCAAACTGCTTGGTGCCACGTCTTCCTTCCTGCCCAATCCAGGCGCACTAGTCGTAAGGCATCTCTCTTGAAGAGCCAATGGAAGGGAGGACCTCAGTATCGAAACATAACAATCCGATATGTATCAGGTAGACAAACGTTATGAACTTATTACGTGAACTGTCAGCAGCTGGGTTGCGTTGGAAATAGTGGCTGAATGACAAGATAACTGCGAATAAAATAAAATAAAATAATCCAAGATGAAATAAAAATACAAATGTAAATTCAACGCGCTTGCCTTCGTTCAACGCGTTTGATAAATATAACTGTAGATAACATGAAAGAACAAGGCAAGAGAAGAAAGGTTGAACAGGCATTAAAAGTATGACGTTATATTGGTACACTTTCGTCGGCTTTCGCGCGTTGGTTCTTAATGAACAGGGATCTAGAATATCTGTCGTGTTCCGATGCTTCCAGTTAATTTAATCGTCGGCAAGTGAATCATTATCCTTTCGGGCCGCAGCGGGTGGAAGGTGGGTATTGGCAGCTGGATCATGTCAAGGATCATAACAGTTCAAGGGTATGGATAGGTCCAACTTCGCGAGGCTTTCATTCATATCTAGCATGCGGCTGAGATGCCGGGTGGAAAGAATAGTGGAAAGATGAAAAAGGATACGGTGTAGGCCACACCCACCGCTACCTTTTCCCCTTACTTATCCTCCCGATCAAGCAATTCTTGGGCAGCAATTAGCTCGCTCTGGTTCCTCTCCCAACTTTTGATATCGGCCGACCTCGATTGTACGATCTCGCGTAGTTTTCTGGTCGATAGCGCTTGTAGCTTCGTGAGTGTCTCTTGCGTGGGCAGGCCAACATCAATATTTTTCGTTTGCGTAGCGGACTTTGCCGATTGTTTATCCAAAAGGCGGGTGGTACTCTGGCGGGTATGGATCAGCATGGTAGGGACGATGCTTAAATAAAAAAAGAATCCATACCAATTTAAGTCCGTAATAGCCACGAAGATAATCATCACACAGCTCAATACTTCGACAAAACCGGCGTACGGAATCGGCCAGGAGTTTCAGGGTCGTCTCTTGGTTGTCCGATGAAGTCGATGCGATGTACTCCACTTCGCCTAGCCTTGCATGGAGCTGGATAGAGACGGGTTAGTTACCGCGCTGTCAGGTCTCGTTCGTTCACAACTGAAAAGACAATGTCTTAGTCTTACGTTCCACGCATTTGGTACTACCAAAAGGGCTTCCTCCAAACAAAATATAGCCTGCATGTCCATTCCCTGGGTTTGGTATAGATCGGCAAGTTCACACCACGCCTCTGCGTCCGTGGGGAATACATCGAGGAAATCTACTAGAGCGGATATAGCATCCGCTGACCGCGACATAGATCGTAGGAGGGCAATTCGCCGTTTCAAAATTGGCTACCTCTAGATATCAGTTTCACTGCTCGAGGCATCGCACAATCGGAGTAATGGAAGTACACGAACCACATTCACTGGGTTCTCGCCAAGCACTTTTTCGTAACCTGTAAGGATTTCTTCGAGGGCATCTTGGTCTTTCGCAAGTGCTTCCTCGTAGACGCCTTTCAGTGCCATGATGCGTTCATTGGCGGGTCCAAAGCGTTTTGATAGCCGTTCCAAGCATTGGCGCGCGGATTCATCATCACGTATCCTCAAGCAAGCCAGAAGCAATTGTTCGTAAGTTAACCATAATTCAGGTGTCTCTGCAGTCGCAAACACGGAAAAGGGAAAGGAAGGCTGTTGCACAGGATGGCTTTTTAGGAATGATTGGGTTTGTTGTGATAGACGAAGGACAGCACGCGGATCAGGGGAGTTCAACGCCATTTGCAAATCCAGCGGTAGCGATGAGGTCATTATGGCTGTCTGAGGGATTGGGTCGTTAGTCTATAGTAATTCTATCATGATTGACTGATGTAATATAGCTTGGTGGCTGTTTGGGTTGAGTAGAGCTCGTTACTTACCCAAAGGGATATCCGCTCTCTGGTTGTATGTAATGTACATGTACAAGTCTAGATGCGAAGTGATGTACAGAGTAACAAATGCAGCATTGGCTCGATAACATCACAATAGGTAATATCTTCGAAGATAGGAAAGGTCCTCGGAAGAACGAGGGTATTTGATGAGGCGTTGTCGAGACCAGGAAGATGAGGTTGAAGTTGAGGTTAAGATGCGGGCGGGCGTCCGACCCTGGTTCTTACTAACCAACCCTGTGATGTGATGTGATGTGACGTCTCCGACTAGTTATTTACTAGGTTAACTAACTGACCCTCCCTCACCATCAACCACTACGGCTACAACCTAGCACATACCCGGATCACAGCTTCAGCAACGTGCAGAGAGTTCTGTTTGGGTTACTGGCATATAACGAATCTTGATATTCTTCAAACCCCGATTTACCTTGGTTTTGGCGGATTTGTCCTCTACAGAGACATACAGGCTTGAATCATGTCACTCCACTCACATCCCACCTCGAAGATTCGATAGCGGCGCTCCAGGCACCACACACCTACAATATAGAGCGGAGTGCTAGATCTTTAGACTCTGTATTCCGAAGTGATTTTTTCAAGTTCAGGCGGTTTATATCTTCCAACTAACTACCATGTCTGATAGCTTCCCCCACCCCCCCCGGTCAAATGATGCCATAGAGAACCCTTAAAACTAACATTTCATGCAATGTCATAGGTTCGAGAAATCACTTTACGACCTCATTCGAGGTCTGCGGAATCACAAGTGGAATGAGGTAGAATATATTCAAAACAGCATTAAGGAATGCCGGGTTGAGGTGAAGTCGCAGGACATGGGTTTGTTGCCTCATCAGCTATCAACCGAAGCGAGCATCAGGATTGACTGTTTCCAAAAGATAAAAAGGCAACCGCTCTCCTGAAATTAATATACCTGGAAATGTTCGGATATGATATGTCTTGGGCTGCATTCCACGTGCTTGAAGTCATGTCATCGGCGAAATATCCACAGAAGCGCGTCGGCTACCTAGGAGCCGTGCAGAGTTTCCGCCCAGATACAGAAGTTCTCATGTTAGCTACCAATCTATTGAAGAAGGTAGGTAAAGGACATTTACGATGTACCTTTAGTAAAGAGGAACATATGTCTGACGTTATTCATTATTTAGGATATGGTCTCTCCTCTGGTTCCGACGATGTCATTACCCCTCCTCACGCTACCCCATATAATTTCTCCCTCCCTAGCTCTATCTTTGTTGACAGATGTGCTACCCCGTCTGTCCCATTCCCATCCTGCCGTTCGAAAGAAAGCGGTGGTTAACCTCTACCGGCTTTCCCTGGTCTATCCAGAAGCTTTTCGGATTGCTTGGCCAAAAATCAAAGAGCGCTTGATGGATGAGCAAGAGGATAGCAGTGTTACCGCAGCTGTCATCAATGTTGTCTGTGAATTGGGCTGGAGACGTCCCCAAGACTTCCTTCCCCTGGCTCCGCGACTATTTGACCTTTTGGTTGATGGTGGGAATAATTGGATGGCCATCAAAATTATCAAACTGGTAGGCTTTACCCGCTCCGCTCGCGGTTTCGCACCATGGACGCTGCAGCTAACTCTAGACCCTAGTTTGCAACATTGACACCTCTGGAGCCACGGTTAGTTCGAAAGCTCCTCCGACCTTTGACTAATATCATTCAAACGACGACAGCGATGTCTTTGCTTTACGAATGTATAAATGGGGTAATCCAAGGTGGCATCCTAGATGGCGCTGAAGGTGTGCGGGAAGGAGAGGAGATCGCTAATCTCTGCGTGGAGAAACTTCGAGGCATGATTGTCATGGAAGGCGATCCCAATTGTAAGATTGATTTCCGTTCTAGAAAAGTATACTATATCTAACCATTTGTAGTAAAATACGTCGCACTTCTTGCATTTAACAGGATTGTGGCCTCGCACCCAACGTTGGTTGCCATGCAGCAAGATGTCATCATGGACTGTTTAGATGACAATGATATTTCCATCCGGTTGCAGGCGCTCGAACTCGTTTCTGGCATGGTGTCCAGTGATTCCTTACACGCAGTTGTCTCCAGGCTAATCACCCAACTCCAAATGTCCCCAGCACCAACGGATGATGTACAGGTTATTTCTACCATACCTGCTGTGTTAACTCCCTCGGCCGATATCGACGGAGACGATCCAGAGGAGCAGCTGCAGTCAACCAACAAGAGAAATGAATCCGTACTTGCCCTACCCAACCACTACCGCAACGAAGTCCTTCACCGAATACTAGATATCTGTTCACGTGATACATATTCATCGATTGTAGACTTCGAATGGTACGTTGACGTTCTTGTCCAGTTGGTTCGCCTTGTGCCACCACCAACCGGTACAGACTTGCCAGAACTCCATTCTCAGAAAGGGGGCGTTGCGGGTCGGATTGGATACGAACTGCGCAATGTCGCTGTACGGGTAAAGAGCGTGAGGCCCGAAGCCACCCGAGCCGCAGAATTGTTGATATTGATGGATAATCGAGAGACACTCTTCCCTGTCGCCAGCGCTACTTGTACAGACATCCTCGAATTTGTTGCTTGGATAGTGGGGGAGTATGCAGAGTACCTAGAGGTCCCCGATCGCACCCTGACGTCCTTGCTTCATCCCTCGAATCTCTATCTACCCGGTACTGTTTTGTCGTCATATCTTCAGGCCATACCTAAGCTCTTCGTTTCCCTAACATCGAACTCTTATGGCTGGGATTCTTCAAGACAAACCGAGGTTTCGCTTGTTCTAGCACGAATCACTGATTTTCTTGAAAAACTATCTTCTCACCCCGACCTGGATGTTCAGGAACGCGCTATTGAATTTCTTGAACTCCTCCGCCTCACCGCAGAGGCCATCTCTTCCCAGGACACCGAGAGCAGCGATGCTCCACTTCTCATCTCATCAGCTATTCCGAGCTTATTTGCTGGTATTGAACTTAATCCCGTCGCCGTAGGCGCCCAGAAGAAAGTCCCCCAGCCCGAAAACCTCGATCTAGACAAACCTCTAAACGACAGACTCCACTACATCTTAACAGAGTCAGAAAACGGCTGGCTGGGTATATCCGATCAAGATGACTTCCGAGACTTTTACTACGTCCCGGACCTCGTCAGCACCAAACAACAGTCCTACACCAAAGAATCCACAACACCTAACATCACGCAGACATCCTACCAGAATATGACAGACGATTTTGCCGAAAGTGCCGAAGCCAAAGCCCGACGCCGTGCTGAGCGCAGGGATCGTAACAAAGACGATCCGTTTTACATTGGACACGACGAGGGGTCATCAGGAACGTCCACACCCTTTCACCAAGTCCTTCGCACTTCTAATGGCGAAGAGCTGGATATTGATTCCATCCCAATTATTGACCTAGCCATTGAAAGCAGCAAAGCAACGTTACCATCAGCAATCAGAAGAGGAGAGGGACGACCCAAAAAGGCCCACTCAAAACCCAAAAAGGTAGAAATACTAGGTGATGAAACCATAACTATTAGTGACGGACGTGCCGCATCCACGGGAGGCCTAACATTAACCACCGCAACGGCGGAAAAACCCAAAATTAAACGCTCCCTCCTCGAAGTCGATTCGAGCGGCCTATCCAATCTTTCTCTCGACGAAGCTAGCGGACCGGGGGGATCTGGACCAGCAGCACCGGGCTTGAGTATACACGATATCGAGCGCCGGGAAACAGAAGAAGCGGAGATGGCGAAGGCGATGCTAGAGATTGAGAGGTTGAGGTTAGAGATGCAGCGTGCGGCGGACCGGGTAGAGGCGCATGGCGTGCCACCGGAGGGTACACTTGTTAAGCGGAAGAAGAAGAAGAAGATGGACCAGGATGATGCTAGGGTGAAGGCTAAGACGAAGCAAAAGGAGGGTACCGGTGGCGAGAGACCTCTAACACCAGGCTCCATGGCTGCCCGTGCAGCTCCGGCTGGTATTGCCGGGAACCCGGTAGTTCCTGGCGGCGAAGCCAGCGAGGGCGGAGTGGAGGTAAAGCGGAAGAAGAAAAAGAAAACTTCATCATCCTCTAAGAAAAAGAAAGATGATGCAGCTGCCAGCTCTGGTGCTGGTGTTAATGCACATGAGGCTCAGGTTTCATAAACACGTTCCTAGTTTTCATAGCTATTGCACTTTTGGAAGGTTTGGTGTTTGCATGTCTATAAAGATACGGGTACCTTAGGTATATAGCAGGCATATCCGGATGCATAATTTAGATGACATACATGATGATATTCAAGACTCAAGGAGACCATGGTCAATACCTCACTTAATACCTAAAAGTTATAAACAGGACATTCCATTCCCGCACCGACACATATGGATACAGAAAATAGTTACGCAGGTATACAGACAATTGATAAATAATGAGACAGATACAGCGAAATTAACTAATAACACAGGTACATGTCAGAAATAATGCAACGCCCTTCCTCACATTTCAACTAAGCAGACCAAAGCATCAGTCAAGGAGCAACAACGCAGGCGCCCAAGTGAAGAAGATTTTGATATACATATATAACAAGAAATACACAGAACTCAAAACGTAAAAACTTGTAGCAAGCCACGGACATAAGAAGGCATGGAAAATCCATAGGGGAATCCATGAGGGGTATTGGCCCATTATGGAATGAGGCGCTGGGCACAATGCAATCCGCGACGCGACTGGTATCCGAGAACTGGAGAGAAGGAAGAGCCCCTCGTTTAGACAAACTACGCGAACGGAGTCGGATGGGGTTTCGGGTGTGGATAGAGACGAGATGAGGCGAGGCGATCCACATACTGTTTATGAGAGATACGAATTCATACGAATTCGAGCGCAAACCCTTAAGAATAAACATTTCGATTGTTTCCATTCAATCCTTAACTCGTCCACTTTGTTACAAAGGCCGAAATCGCCGCCCAGATCTCCGGCACCACCCTGGCGAGCTCGAAAAGCATCCCGCCGCACACGACGAAGGCGAGGACGACTATTATTACAACCACAAATATGTGTCAGTAATCATTCCCTAATCAAACTATATATGTAAGTAAAAGCAACACGTACCAACCCAACCAACAGGCACGGGGGACTTCGGTTTCGGCTTCGACTTGACAACGGCCTCCGGCTTACCGCGCTTTGCAGCTTCGAGTTTGGCGAAGCGCTCATTTGCGCGACGTTGTTGAGGGGTTTGGACCTATATATAATTATAATCATTATTATTATCATTATTATTACTAGTACTCATTAGAGAGGTCGTAGAGTAAGGGCATCTTGTCGCATACCATTGTGAGGGTGTTAAAGGGAGCTTCTCGTTTGCTTGCCGGTGACGATACGGGCGGCAAAGGAGAATATGTATATCTTTTGTAGCACAATGGGATATCGAGAGGGTTAAATAGCCAAAGAGCCAAGAGTCATATGTGGTTGGAAGCGGATGGTGGATTGTTCGAGATCGAAGTAATGTATATATAAGTATAACCACGTTGCGATAAGTGAACGGCCAGCTGGCCTCCGCGCGCCGGGAGATATTTAAGGGGCAGAGGCGAACAGCAGTTGTTGTGAGGGACCACGGCTAGTAGATGAGAGTACGGATTTCAATTGATTGTCTTATACAGAGAGATTAGATTAGAATGTGTCTTGGGACAATCAACAGTTCTCTAGAGTTTAAAATAATAAATATATAAAATAAATTGTTGTTCTTCGTTTTGTATAGTTAAATAATAACTACTCCGTACAACAAACCGATAAAAAACAACCGCTGCTGTTGGAATTTCCTAACTGGGGAAATGTCTTGGCGATGACGTAATCGCGCATGTTAGGTATCAGTACCGTATTATTACGGATCATGTGATTCCCCGGGTCAGCTTCTGTGTTCCGCTTCGAAATAATTAACTGCAACATCAACAACCATCGCGAGAGGTGACGGAGATACAGTTGCAACAGATCTTGTCTATATCCTAGCGCGAGAGTATCACCACCATGCCGACAAACGAGACTACCGCTACTGATAGGGATCAGTCCCCCGAGTCCCATCTCGCTCAGGTAAATATTAGCCCCCGGGTTTCCCTTCTGGTCTTTTGGTATCTCCTTCACTTCCATATTCCTTTCTCACAGCTTGACAGGTATTCAAAGATATCGCAGAGTCCGTACAGCCCTCTCCATAGACGACACTTCGATTGACGAACTGCACGCCTTGATGGCCAATGAAAAAATATTAAAATCTAAACTAATGCATATTTATGGGTATACAGTGGTGAAAGAACAGCCTCAGCCCTTGAGCACCATCTCGCCAGTCTGGAGGAGAAAATAGAAAGTCTTCTGGCTGCCATCGAACAGCCCGGAAATTCAGATGGCACTCGTGGCGCGTCGAGTACAAACTCCAAACCCGAAAATCGGACAGATACTGGAGATAACATGAACAACAATAAAAAATAACACGCCGGGCAATGAATGACGTCGCCCTCACTCAAAAATCCGCGCCAGATGAAATGCCCCGCTCGCATCCTTCTCCACAACCCCAACCTCCGTGATAATCCCATCAATAAGCGCCGCAGGCGTAACATCAAACGCCGGATTCCACACATCAATCCCATTAGCCGCGACGGTGATGGTCTCCATAGCCCTAAGTCCATCCACCTCTTCTCCAGCCCGCGGCCCGCGAACCCGCGTCACCTCCTGCTTGGGCCGTTCCTCAATAACAATATCTGCACCGGTCTTCGTATTCATATCGATCGTCGTCCGCGGCGCCGCGACGAGGAACTTGACACCGTGATATTTCGCCAGGACAGCCAAGCCGTACGTCCCGATCTTGTTCGCCGTGTCGCCATTGGCGGCCACGCGGTCTGCGCCGACGATGATGGCACTTACGCCCACACTTGCTGCTGAGCCTGCCCTATTGCGTGCAAGGAGGGCCGCAGCCATGTTATCTGTGATGAGAGTGGCGGGAATTTTGTCGTGGACGAGCTCGTAGGCGGTGAGGCGAGAGCCTTGGTTGTACGGGCGGGTTTCTGTGCAGTAGGCACGCTCGAGGGAGCCGGTGGCGTGCAGGGAGCGGATGACACCTAAGGCTGTGCCGTAGCCGGCCGTAGCAAGGGAGCTGTATGATAGAAATATAATATATTAGCAACGCATTCGTAACTGGTAGAGCAAATAAAATCTTTTCCATATCGTGACATACCCAGTATTACAATGGGTGAGCACCGCAACCTTCCCCTTCTCCGACCCTGACTCTGACCCCGTTGCCACCGCATTTTCCAAGACCCATCTGGCTCCAAACTCCCCAATGGCCCTATTATCCTTTACATCATCCTCCAACATCCTCTGGGCAGCCGCAATATACGCCTCCGCCACCTCCCTCCCATCAACTCCCCGCACCTCCGCCTTAGCACTAACAATTCCACCTAACCTCCCCGCCGCCTCCGCTAGATTCACCGCCGTCGGTCGACTACTCACCAGATACTCCAATTTCTCCCGAATAAACACCTCGACCTCCTTGGGTTCCGGGGAGAGCTGATTATTGGCCGCCAATGCATCTAGCTCCACGGCGAGTGATAGGGCGGCGACGATGGCGATGGCAGGTGCGCCACGGACGCGCATTTCATGGATGGCGTGCCAGGCATCGCAGGCGGAGTGGAGGGGATCATACGTGGTTTGGTGGGGGAGGAGGAGTTGGTTGAGAATGCTGAGGGAGCCGCGGGTGTAGGTAATGGCGGCAAGGGTCATGATCGCGGCTCTTTTTTTCCTTGCTTTTTTTGATTCACTTCTTTTCTCTTCTTTATTGTCGAAAAGGTTGGAGGTAGGTATATAGAGGGCAACTTATGATCAGTATAGTAAGAGGGCTGGTTATAAGGGGTTGAAAATGCGAATTGTTTCTGTTCGGATGGTGGGCTTGGCGAGATATAACTAAATAGCGAATAACTTTTGCCCCTCCAGATGTCCCGCGACATATTTTGTCGGACTGCCTACAAATAGTAACACAAACTAGATGGCACAATTGAACGGATATGATTAATCGTGTTTTAATGCATTATAGAACTGATCCTCCTTCTAAACCCCATTCTACGTGTTGAATTATCATGACAGTATAGCTGTCCATGAAGCTGTATATATGGACATATACCTCCTGCTTCTGAATGCCGATTCAAATAAATCAGTAGACGATGACAAAAAGTCCTGAGTCCACCAACTCTGGACGTCGCTGTGGTGAAGATGCTTGGAATGCAGGGGTCAAGGAGGGAATGTCCAAGCTGCTCAAGTGGCCGCCGGTAGGCGATGCCTTGTGGAGTATAGAAAAGATCTGGCCATGCAAATTGCATTGAAGAGCCACCGGCCATTAATCTGTAGGGAGGTTGCGGTTCATTAAATGATAAATATCAGAAGTCAATTCATTCATAATTGATGAAGAGGTGCCGCTTGCTGTAATTGACCCCCGTTCGCGGGCTCAGTGGCTAAGCAGGTATTTAGGAAAAGGGGATAGATTCTGCATTCCTCATCTGCATGCAATAAACCAGTAGCAATAGCAGTGACCTTTGGCTCCAGGTATTTTTTCGAAGTCATATGCTCCTAACTTGCACCGGTATACGCAGACCCTATAACCCCAGGCCCAACACAGGTAGCCATTTTCAATATACAACCAAAACCGAACTTTGCGTAACGTCAAGGATGAAGGGAAAGAGGAGGCCACTTGGATGCTTTGTGTAAATATATCATAATCATTTCGTAAAGGTATTATTCTCTTATATGAAGCAACGAAGGACGACAGGACCTATGAATCGGCGGAGATATACAGGACTGGTCCACGCAGCAAATAGTGAGCAAAAAAAGCACATTACAAATATCAATGATAAATAAACGGTAAAAGGAAAGAAAAGGTCTCTATACCATTATTCCCTCTCACAAAAGCATCGCCATAGCTCCGTCTCAGTTTTCCATCGACGTATTCCTCAGTCTTCTCCAGCGCGATATTCATATACCCATCGACGGATTGCAGCTCTCCTAAACCATAAGACAAATAGTTAGATGGACTGTACGATAAAAAGAGCATATCAAATAGGATCGAGCATCTCACCTTTGTATACCACACCGGAATTCAGCTTCACTGTGACGGGGGCGCCGGTGATTTCGCCGAGGAATGCGGAGGGATCTTTGCCCTCGGACGCGGAGCCGTTTTCCATCGCGGGAGATATTTATAGTATACAACTGTATATGTTTGTTGGAAGCCGAATAGCCCAGCGGTATACGGGACTATAGAAGGAAGAGTTGAGTTGAGTCGTATTTCATTTGTTATTTATTGTGTTGTGGTGAAGAGGAAGAAATCCTCAAGCTCCGCCATGTTCTTTCTTGGCGGCCGAGTTGACGTTCTGCATCCGTCCTATTGAATATACATAATAAATATATACAGCCGTTTATCCCTTGCTGCCACGGATATTTATTTTAAGAAAGCTTTGTTCCAAATACCACTCCAGCAAATATTATGTGTATGCCCACTTGCGATATGGCTCTGTGAGAATATTGTACTCTGAATCTAGTCGAGGTA